GACGTCACCCACTGACGTCACCCACTGACGTCATGCAATGACGTCATCCAGTGACGTCATTTCCTGACTTCGCCCTTACTGGTACATACCGGTACCCACCGGTATAGCGAAGCTCGGTCTTCCACTTGCTTCAACACTTGACGCAGCTTGACGAGGTGTCTTCTTCACAGCCGCTGTCTTTTCAACACTCCCTCTCGACTCGTTAGCTGCGGCACCTTGGATCCCAAGTCGATCGCGAATGTTTTTCAAATTGTACAGCGGCGATCGGCTTGGTCATCATGTCTGCCAGCATATCTTGAGTCGGGCAATACTCCAAAACGACTTCACCTGATTCCACCTTCTCACGCACAAAATGGTAGCGTATGTCGATGTGTTTTGTTCTCTTATGGAACTCCGGGTTCTTGGCGAGAGCGATTGATCCTTGGTTGTCTTCATACATCTTGATCGCTTCGTCGCTTGTCATCTCACCAAGTTCCCCAAAAGCACTTTGAGCCATACTGCTTCTTTGGTTGCTTCGGAAAGCGCCATGTATTCTGCTTCTGTTGAAGATAGCGCGACCGTCCGTTGTTTCTGGCTTTTCCAGCTGATGCATCCTCCGCTCATCATGAACACATAGCCGCTTGTACTTCGTCTTGACTCAATGTCGCCGGCCCAGTCTGCGTCGGTGTACCCGCAGATACGGCTTCCTTCTTCACGTGTAAACTCAAGACCATGATTGGGCGTTGCTTGCAGGTATCTCAGCACACGCTTCAAAGCTTGCCAGTCAGTCGGGCATGGGTCGGACGAGAACTGGGATAACGATCCCACTGCAGCAGCTAGATCCGGACGTGTGGCGACCATGAGATACATGATGCCTCCGACAGCACTTCGATATGGCACGTTGCACATGGTGTCTTCGTGCTTGCATTCTTGTTCACACATGTTCTTGGTTAGCTTCAGGCCGGGATCTTGAGGCGTCTTCACTGGCTTGCTGTTATCCATTCCGAACTTGGTTAACACGGACTTGAGAAACTTGGTTTGTTGTACAGTCACCATTCCCGTCTTACGGTCGTTCTTGATCTCCATGCCGAGAAAGTAATCGAGCTCACCGAGATCCGTCATTTCGAAGCGTTTGCTCAGCGCCATCTTGGTTGACTTGAGGAGTTCGTTGTTGCTGCTGGCCAGGATGAGATCATCGACGTAGAGCACCACGAGAATCATGTCTTGGTCGTCTCGCTTGATGTAGATGCAGTGGTCCGATTCGCACTTCTTGAATCCCATCTTGATCATGAACCCATCGATTGTTTGGTTCCACATGCGAGGCGATTGCTTCAAGCCGTAGAGTGATCTCTTTAGCTTGCACACATAGTCCGGCTGTGTTGCATCCAGGTATCCGTCCGGCTGGTCCATGTAGATGTCTTCGTTGAGGGAGCCGTTAAGAAACGCTGTCTTGACGTCCATCTGATGTAGCATTAGGCCGTACTTAGCCGCCATACTGAGCACCACACGAATCGATGTGAACTTGGCCACCGGTGCGAAAGTTTCTTCATAGTCAACTCCGAATTTCTGTGAGAATCCTTTGGCCACAAGTCTTGCCTTGAAACGTTCAACTTCGCCATCTTGATTCTCCTTTACACGAAAAACCCATCGGCACCCGATGGCCTTGCGACCTTTCGGAAGAGGCACGATTTCCCACGTGTCGTTTCTCTGAAGCGAATCGAACTCCGAGTCACACGCTTCTTTCCACTTGCCGGAGTCGCTTGATTCCATCGCCGACTTGAATGTAGTCGGCGTTTCCCCACTGAATCAACGATGTAGGCTGCTTCAAAATCCATTGCAGCCGCTGACACATGCTCAAGCGACGGACCTCTGTATGTTCTTCGCTTGGGACTTGGAATGACGGTAGCTTTCTCAAGTGATTGAGTGCGCGTGTGTCTCTTGATGTTGCTCTTCGAAGACCTGGTGTCTTCGTTGTCATCGTCGCTCGAGTCCATTTCGTCGTCAGTTTTACCTTCTTCTTTTTCTTCGTCCTCATCATGATCATCAAACTCAACGACACTTGACTCATCGTTGTAGTTGCGCGGACCTTCATCAAACTTGTCTTCCATGAATGTGGCATCGCGACTAATCTTGATCGCTCCTGTTGACACTTCCTCAAATCGATATGACTTCTGGTGTTCGGCGTATCCCAGGAAACGACAGAGTGATGACTTGGAGTCGAACTTCGCGCGTTTGTCTTGAGGCACTTGAACATACGCGTGGCATCCAAACACTTTAAGGTTGGCCAGAATCGGTTTCTTCATCGTCCACACTTGATATGGAGACTTGTCTTGGTGAATGGCACGTGTTGGACAGCGGTTTCGAAGAAACATCGCCGTCATCACTGCTTCACCCCAGTAGCTCTTTCCCAGTCCAGCGTGTTCCATCATGCAACGCGCACACTCGACCAGCGTGCGATTCATTCTCTCAGCTACTCCGTTTAGCTGAGGAGTATATGGGGGTGTGAACCTTTGTTGTATTCCCCGTTCCGCGCAGAATCGTGCCAGCTTGTCGGACTTGTATTCACCCCCATTGTCGCTTTGAAGGTACTTCACGCGCTTTCCGGTTTGCGTTTCGGCCATCGCAGCGTATTCCATGAACTTCGCCGCAACTTCAGATTTGCTCTTGAGCAGATAGACGACACAGTATCTTGACTTGTCATCAATGAATGTCACGAAGTACCGTTTTCCACTGAAAGTTGCCATCGACATCGGTCCGCATACGTCGCTGTGAATCACTTCGAGGAGTTTGGAGGTGCGAGCTGTAGTGTTTGATTGGAAGCGCACTCGAGTCTGTTTTCCCAGAGCACAACCTTCACACACGTCCCACTTCTTCACCGAAGATATGTCGATGCCAATTCCAATGTTCTTCGTCACGATGCAATTGAGTCCATCGTGACCTATGTGGCCAAGCCGAAGGTGCCAGAGGTACGACTTGGTGCCCCCTTGACATCCCGACGACTTGGCTGCATTTGCTTGTTCCGGCGCCACTGGAGTCATTTGCAGCTTGAACAGTCCTTTACCTTCACGGGCACCAATTTTCCACTTGGTCCCTTTCGCTTCTCCATAGCACCCATCCTTCGTGAACGTCACTGGGCCGACATCCTTGGTGAAGCGGCCGACCGAGAACAGGTTTCTGGATAACTTTGGGATGTGCCACACGTTTGTGAGCACACCTTTCTTCATCCCTTGGGGTGTCTTCATCGACATGACAATGTCCCCACTGCCGATTGCTTGGACGATTCCATCATCCGCGAGATGGACATCCACAGCGTCAAACCCCTTGTAGTTCCGCATGAACTTCTTGGAGCACGTCATGTGCTGCGTCGCCCCGGAGTCGACCAGCCAGATGTCGCTCGATTTCGCAGATGTCGTTTCACCGATCGAAAAGAGGTAGTCGCCCGAGTCTTCTTCTTGAGCGACGTTTGCACGTTGTGATCGATAGCGGTCGCCGCTGTCTTGAGCACGCTGTGGCCGGTGTCTCTCCGTGTTTTCTTGGATGCGCGAGGGGCACTCCGCCATCCAGTGACCAATCTTTCCGCAATTGTGGCACGGCCAGGACTTCTTCACTGGTCGCCCTTTGCGCTGATTGTCCCTTGTGATGAACGCTTGACCTTGCGAAGCTTCATCACCTTTACTTCCTTGCTCCTTCCGCTTCATTTCTTCATGAAGCAGTCGAGACGTCACGAGCTCCCAGCTAAGAGTGTCTGAGCGCGACTCCAAAGCTGTGATCAAGAATTGATACGAGTCACTCAGGCTGCCGAGGAGTGTGATCACCAGATCGTCCTCGCAGACTGGAGCCCCCACCGCTTCTAGCTGTTCCGCCAGCGTCTTGAGCTTGTTGATGTGTTCGAGCACATCGTCGCCTTCTTCCATCATTGTCGTGAAGAAGCGACGGCGCAAGAACAGCTTGTTGGCAAGACTCTTCTTCTCGAAGTGGTCTTCCAACCTTGACCATGCGTCGCATGCACCACTTGCCGACCGGACCAACGGTAGCTGGGAATCTTCCATGGCTAGACAGATCACTGCCATCGCCTTTCTTGACTTCCTCTTGTACGTCGCTTGGTCCAACTGAGTCTCGCACTGTTCCGCCTTGATCTCACCGCTGACGACCTCCCATAGGTCCCGTTCCTCCAGCACCATCTGCATCTTGAACTTCCAGGCGTGGAAGTTAGTTCCATCGAACTTGGAGATGCGGAGGGGAGGAGGCGTCCATGGCAGCTAAGCTTGAATTGTTGGCGGTTTCAGAGTCTGACGAACTTGGGCTCATAACCTGATGAGCTTTAGACTTCTTGGTCCGAGTGCAAAACGCAAAGTGAATATATATTTATAATAGGTACTTAGTTCGCAACTTTGAATACTACCTCTAAGCCTATTATTCGCAGTGACGTCATCCAGTGACGTCACCCACTGACGTCACCCACTGACGTCATGCAATGACGTCATCCAGTGACGTCATTTCCTGACTTCGCCCTTACTGGTACATACCGGTACCCACCGGTATAGCGAAGCTTGGTCTTCCACTTGCTTCAACACTTGACGCAGCTTGACGAGGTGTCTTCTTCACAGCCGCTGTCTTTTCAACAGAAGTCGACTCGCTAGGTGGAAGCAAGTACTTGCTACTGACCGTAGATGAAGGCAGCGGATGTATGAAGGGTTTCAGTCTGCGCGCCAATTCCGACAGCGAAGAGTGCATCAAGAAGTACATCGTGGCAGTACAGACGCAGTTTGACTACAAGATCAAGTTCGTTCGCCACGATGGTGCACGCGAATCTGTGGCAAATTCGCTCAAGGCATTTTACGATGATCAACGAATCGAGCAGCAAGTTACCGTTCCATATGCGCATCAGACCAACGGCACGGCGGAACGGGCAATTCGGACCATTGTGACGATCGGGCGCAGCATGCTTTACTACGCCAAGCTGGACAAGTTTTTTTGAGTTGAAGCAGCAATGACGGCGATCTACATCAAGAATCGCCTACCATCGCCCAAGTGCCAAGATCAAACCCCGTTCGAGATCGTCAACGGATTTCGACCAAGTGTGAAGCACATGCGGGTTTTCGGCTGCCGAACGTTTGTGCTGACCCCTAAGGAAAAGAGATCGAAATGGGATCCAAAGGCTCGTGAAGGACAATTCATGGGGTACGAAGAAGTGTCAAAGGCATATCGCGTTTACGACATTGAAGCGGATCAAGTGGTGATATCTCGCGATGTCACATTCGACGAATCAACGTTTGGTTTCTCGCCGACGCTACCACAAGAAATTGTTGATGACACTGCGCTGGATATCGAATCGATGAACATTAGCGATGAGCCTCACCCTATGGAGTTCAAGCAAATTGGAAAACGCAAAAGCCGTTCAAACAGCCAAGAACAAGCTCTGCAACGGACACTTCCTGAGCGTCGTGGAACCGGGTTCGAAGAAGCAAGTGCACCGGATGACTTTGAAACGCACCAAGCGAAGCGACGGTCAAGCGCTCGAGCCAATCTGGACGAAGAGCAAAAGGGCAGTGACGAAGATAACGAGGATGCTACACCTCAAGTCTTTTGGCGAGCGAGTGTCAACGCAGTCGAAGGTACTGACTTGTCTGAGCCGACAACGTTTAAAGATGCTGTTGATGGACCGGATCAAGTGCATTGGTGTGAAGCAATCTGTGCTGAGTTGGACTCGATGAAACTTCGTGGCGTGCTTCGAGCGCCCAAACAGCCAGCTGGACAGCATACCATTGGCACCAAGTGGGTATTCAATATCAAGCGGAAAGCTGATGGATCCATCGAGAAATACAAGGCGCGTCTCGTGGCAAAAGGGTTCAAGCAGAAATATGGCATCGACTACACGGAGACGTTTTTGCCGGTAGTCAAGTACGTGACGCTGCGCATGGTAGTTGCAATCACGAAGTACTTTGACTGGACACTGTGATGAACTTTAGACTTCTTGGTCCGAGTGCAAAACGCAAAGTGAATATATGTTTATAATAGGTACTTAGTTCGCAACTTTGAATACTACCTCTAAGCCTATTATTCGCAGTGACGTCATCCAGTGACGTCACCCACTGACGTCACCCACTGACGTCATGCAATGACGTCATCCAGTGACGTCATTTCCTGACTTCGCCCTTACTGGTACATACCGGTACCCACCGGTATAGCGAAGCTTGGTCTTCCACTTGCTTCAACACTTGACGCAGCTTGACGAGGTGTCTTCTTCACAGCCGCTGTCTTTTCAACACTCCCTCTCGACTCGTTAGCTGCGGCACCTTGGATCCCAAGTCGATTGCGAATGTTTTCAAATTGTACAGCGGCGATCGGCTTGGTCATCATGTCTGCCAGCATATCTTGAGTCGGGCAATACTCCAAAACGACTTCACCTGATTCCACCTTCTCACGCACAAAATGGTAGCGTATGTCGATGTGTTTTGTTCTCTTATGGAACTCCGGGTTCTTGGCGAGAGCGATTGATCCTTGGTTGTCTTCATACATCTTGATCGCTTCGTCGCTTGTCATCTCACCAAGTTCCCCCAAAAGCACCTTGAGCCATACTGCTTCTTTGGTTGCTTCGGAAAGCGCCATGTATTCTGCTTCTGTTGAAGATAGCGCGACCGTCCGTTGTTTCTGGCTTTTCCAGCTGATGCATCCTCCGTTCATCATGAACACATAGCCGCTTGTACTTCGTCTTGACTCAATGTCGCCGGCCCAGTCTGCGTCGGTGTACCCGCAGATACGGCTTCCTTCTTCACGTGTAAACTCAAGACCATGATTGGGCGTTGCTTGTGATGAACTTTAGACTTCTTGGTCCGAGTGCAAAACGCAAAGTGAATATATATTTATAATAGGTACTTAGTTCGCAACTTTGAATACTACCTCTAAGCCTATTATTCGCAGTGACGTCATCCAGTGACGTCACCCACTGACGTCACCCACTGACGTCATGCAATGACGTCATCCAGTGACGTCATTTCCTGACTTCGCCCTTACTGGTACATACCGGTACCCACCGGTATAGCGAAGCTTGGTCTTCCACTTGCTTCAACACTTGACGCAGCTTGACGAGGTGTCTTCTTCACAGCCGCTGTCTTTTCAACACTCCCTCTCGACTCGTTAGCTGCGGCACCTTGGATCCCAAGTCGATCGCGAATGTTTTCAAATTGTACAGCGGCGATCGGCTTGGTCATCATGTCTGCCAGCATATCTTGAGTCGGGCAATACTCCAAAACGACTTCACCTGATTCCACCTTCTCACGCACAAAATGGTAGCGTATGTCGATGTGTTTTGTTCTCTTATGGAACTCCGGGTTCTTGGCGAGAGCGATTGATCCTTGGTTGTCTTCATACATCTTGATCGCTTCGTCGCTTGTCATCTCACCAAGTTCCCCCAAAAGCACTTTGAGCCATACTGCTTCTTTGGTTGCTTCGGAAAGCGCCATGTATTCTGCTTCTGTTGAAGATAGCGCGACCGTCCGTTGTTTCTGGCTTTTCCAGCTGATGCATCCTCCGCTCATCATGAACACATAGCCGCTTGTACTTCGTCTTGACTCAATGTCGCCGGCCCAGTCTGCGTCGGTGTACCCGCAGATACGGCTTCCTTCTTCACGTGTAAACTCAAGACCATGATTGGGCGTTGCTTGCAGGTATCTCAGCACACGCTTCAAAGCTTGCCAGTGAGTCGGGCATGGGTCGGACGAGAACTGGGATAATGATCCCACTGCAGCAGCTAGATCCGGACGTGTGGCGACCATGAGATACATGATGCCTCCGACAGCACTTCGATATGGCACGTTGCACATGGTGTCTTCGTGCTTGCATTCTTGTTCACACATGTTCTTGGTTAGCTTCAGGCCGGGATCTTGAGGCGTCTTCACTGGCTTGCTGTTATCCATTCCGAACTTGGTTAACACGGACTTGAGAAACTTGGTTTGTTGTACAGTCACCATTCCCGTCTTACGGTCGTTCTTGATCTCCATGCCGAGAAAGTAATCGAGCTCACCGAGATCCGTCATTTCGAAGCGTTTTCTCAGCGCCATCTTGGTTGACTTGAGGAGTTCGTTGTTGCTGCTGGCCAGGATGAGATCATCGACGTAGAGCACCACGAGAATCATGTCTTGGTCGTCTCGCTTGATGTAGATGCAGTGGTCCGATTCGCACTTCTTGAATCCCATCTTGATCATGAACCCATCGATTGTTTGGTTCCACATGCGAGGCGATTGCTTCAAGCCGTAGAGTGATCTCTTTAGCTTGCACACATAGTCCGGCTGTGTTGCATCCAGGTATCCGTCCGGCTGGTCCATGTAGATGTCTTCGTTGAGGGAGCCGTTAAGAAACGCTGTCTTGACGTCCATCTGATGTAGCATTAGGCCGTACTTAGCCGCCATACTGAGCACCACACGAATCGATGTGAACTTGGCCACCGGTGCGAAAGTTTCTTCATAGTCAACTCCGAATTTCTGTGAGAATCCTTTGGCCACAAGTCTTGCCTTGAAACGTTCAACTTCGCCATCTTGATTCTCCTTTACACGAAAAACCCATCGGCACCCGATGGCCTTGCGACCTTTCGGAAGAGGCACGATTTCCCACGTGTCGTTTCTCTGAAGCGAATCGAACTCCGAGTCACACGCTTCTTTCCACTTGCCGGAGTCGCTTGATTCCATCGCCGACTTGAATGTAGTCGGCGTTTCCCCCACTGAATCAACGATGTAGGCTGCTTCAAAATCCATTGCAGCCGCTGACACATGCTCAAGCGACGGACCTCTGTATGTTCTTCGCTTGGGACTTGGAATGATGGTAGCTTTCTCAAGTGATTGAGTGCGCGTGTGTCTCTTGATGTTGCTCTTCGAAGACCTGGTGTCTTCGTTGTCATCGTCGCTCGAGTCCATGTCGTCGTCAGTTTTACCTTCTTCTTTTTCTTCGTCCTCATCATGATCATCAAACTCAACGACACTTGACTCATCGTTGTAGTTGCGCGGACCTTCATCAAACTTGTCTTCCATGAATGTGGCATCGCGACTGATCTTGATCGCTCCTGTTGACACTTCCTCAAATCGATATGACTTCTGGTGTTCGGCGTATCCCAGGAAACGACAGAGTGATGACTTGGAGTCGAACTTCGCGCGTTTGTCTTGAGGCACTTGAACATACGCGTGGCATCCAAACACTTTAAGGTTGGCCAGAATCGGTTTCTTCATCGTCCACACTTGATATGGAGACTTGTCTTGGTGAATGGCACGTGTTGGACAGCGGTTTCGAAGAAACATCGCCGTCATCACTGCTTCACCCCAGTAGCTCTTTCCCAGTCCAGCGTGTTCCATCATGCAACGCGCACACTCGACCAGCGTGCGATTCATTCTCTCAGCTACTCCGTTTAGCTGAGGAGTATATGGGGGTGTGAACCTTTGTTGTATTCCCCGTTCCGCGCAGAATCGTGCCAGCTTGTCGGACTTGTATTCACCCCCATTGTCGCTTTGAAGGTACTTCACGCGCTTTCCGGTTTGCGTTTCGGCCATCGCAGCGTATTCCATGAACTTCGCCGCAACTTCAGATTTGCTCTTGAGCAGATAGACGACACAGTATCTTGACTTGTCATCAATGAATGTCACGAAGTACCGTTTTCCACTGAAAGTTGCCATCGACATCGGTCCGCATACGTCGCTGTGAATCACTTCGAGGAGTTTGGAGGTGCGAGCTGTAGTGTTTGATTGGAAGCGCACTCGAGTCTGTTTTCCCAGAGCACAACCTTCACACACGTCCCACTTCTTCACCGAAGATATGTCGATGCCAATTCCAATGTTCTTCGTCACGATGCAATTGAGTCCATCGTGACCTATGTGGCCAAGCCGAAGGTGCCAGAGGTACGACTTGGTGCCCCCTTGGCATCCCGACGACTTGGCTGCATTTGCTTGTTCCGGCGCCACTGGAGTCATTTGCAGCTTGAACAGTCCTTTACCTTCACGGGCACCAATTTTCCACTTGGTCCCTTTCGCTTTTCCATAGCACCCATCCTTCGTGAACGTCACTGGGCCGACATCCTTGGTGAAGCGGCCGACCGAGAACAGGTTTCTGGATAACTTTGGGATGTGCCACACGTTTGTGAGCACACCTTTCTTCATCCCTTGGGGTGTCTTCATCGACATGACAATGTCCCCACTGCCGATTGCTTGGACGATTCCATCATCCGCGAGATGGACATCCACAGCGTCAAATCCCTTGTAGTTCCGCATGAACTTCTTGGAGCACGTCATGTGCTGCGTCGCCCCGGAGTCGACCAGCCAGATGTCGCTCGATTTCGCAGATGTCGTTTCACCGATCGAAAAGAGGTAGTCGCCCGAGTCTTCTTCTTGAGCGACGTTTGCACGTTGTGATCGATAGCGGTCGCCGCTGTCTTGAGCACGCTGTGGCCGGTGTCTCTCCGTGTTTTCTTGGATGCGCGAGGGGCACTCCGCCATCCAGTGACCAATCTTTCCGCAATTGTGGCACGGCCAGGACTTCTTCACTGGTCGCCCTTTGCGCTGATTGTCCCTTGTGATGAACGCTTGACCTTGCGAAGCTTCATCACCTTTACTTCCTTGCTCCTTCCGCTTCATTTCTTCATGAAGCAGTCGAGACGTCACGAGCTCCCAGCTAAGAGTGTCTGAGCGCGACTCCAAAGCTGTGATCAAGAATTGATACGAGTCACTCAGGCTGCCGAGGAGTGTGATCACCAGATCGTCCTCGCAGACTGGAGCCCCCACCGCTTCTAGCTGTTCCGCCAGCGTCTTGAGCTTGTTGATGTGTTCGAGCACATCGTCGCCTTCTTCCATCATTGTCGTGAAGAAGCGACGGCGCAAGAACAGCTTGTTGGCAAGACTCTTCTTCTCGAAGTGGTCTTCCAACCTTGACCATGCGTCGCATGCACCACTTGCCGACCGGACCAACGGTAGCTGGGAATCTTCCATGGCTAGACAGATCACTGCCATCGCCTTTCTTGACTTCCTCTTGTACGTCGCTTGGTCCAACTGAGTCTCGCACTGTTCCGCCTTGATCTCACCGCTGACGACCTCCCATAGGTCCCGTTCCTCCAGCACCATCTGCATCTTGAACTTCCAGGCGTGGAAGTTAGTTCCATCGAACTTGGAGATGCGGAGGGAGGAGGCGTCCATGGCAGCTAAGCTTGAATTGTTGGCGGTTTCAGAGTCTGACGAACTTGGGCTCATAACCTGATGAACTTTAGACTTCTTGGTCCGAGTGCAAAACGCAAAGTGAATATATATTTATAATAGGTACTTAGTTCGCAACTTTGAATACTACCTCTAAGCCTATTATTCGCAGTGACGTCATCCAGTGACGTCACCCACTGACGTCATGCAATGACGTCATCCAGTGACGTCATTTCCTGACTTCGCCCTTACTGGTACATACCGGTACCCACCGGTATAGCGAAGCTTGGTCTTCCACTTGCTTCAACACTTGACGCAGCTTGACGAGGTGTCTTCTTCACAGCCGCTGTCTTTTCAACAGCTTGCAGGTATCTCAGCACACGCTTCAAAGCTTGCCAGTGAGTCGGGCATGGGTCGGACGAGAACTGGGATAATGATCCCACTGCAGCAGCTAGATCCGGACGTGTGGCGACCATGAGATACATGATGCCTCCGACAGCACTTCGATATGGCACGTTGCACATGGTGTCTTCGTGCTTGCATTCTTGTTCACACATGTTCTTGGTTAGCTTCAGGCCGGGATCTTGAGGCGTCTTCACTGGCTTGCTGTTATCCATTCCGAACTTGGTTAACACGGACTTGAGAAACTTGGTTTGTTGTACAGTCACCATTCCCGTCTTACGGTCGTTCTTGATCTCCATGCCGAGAAAGTAATCGAGCTCACCGAGATCCGTCATTTCGAAGCGTTTGCTCAGCGCCATCTTGGTTGACTTGAGGAGTTCGTTGTTGCTGCTGGCCAGGATGAGATCATCGACGTAGAGCACCACGAGAATCATGTCTTGGTCGTCTCGCTTGATGTAGATGCAGTGGTCCGATTCGCACTTCTTGAATCCCATCTTGATCATGAACCCATCGATTGTTTGGTTCCACATGCGAGGCGATTGCTTCAAGCCGTAGAGTGATCTCTTTAGCTTGCACACATAGTCCGGCTGTGTTGCATCCAGGTATCCGTCCGGCTGGTCCATGTAGATGTCTTCGTTGAGGGAGCCGTTAAGAAACGCTGTCTTGACGTCCATCTGATGTAGCATTAGGCCGTACTTAGCCGCCATACTGAGCACCACACGAATCGATGTGAACTTGGCCACCGGTGCGAAAGTTTCTTCATAGTCAACTCCGAATTTCTGTGAGAATCCTTTGGCCACAAGTCTTGCCTTGAAACGTTCAACTTCGCCATCTTGATTCTCCTTTACACGAAAAACCCATCGGCACCCGATGGCCTTGCGACCTTTCGGAAGAGGCACGATTTCCCACGTGTCGTTTCTCTGAAGCGAATCGAACTCCGAGTCACACGCTTCTTTCCACTTGCCGGAGTCGCTTGATTCCATCGCCGACTTGAATGTAGTCGGCGTTTCCCCCACTGAATCAACGATGTAGGCTGCTTCAAAATCCATTGCAGCCGCTGACACATGCTCAAGCGACGGACCTCTGTATGTTCTTCGCTTGGGACTTGGAATGACGGTAGCTTTCTCAAGTGATTGAGTGCGCGTGTGTCTCTTGATGTTGCTCTTCGAAGACCTGGTGTCTTCGTTGTCATCGTCGCTCGAGTCCATGTCGTCGTCAGTTTTACCTTCTTCTTTTTCTTCGTCCTCATCATGATCATCAAACTCAACGACACTTGACTCATCGTTGTAGTTGCGCGGACCTTCATCAAACTTGTCTTCCATGAATGTGGCATCGCGACTGATCTTGATCGCTCCTGTTGACACTTCCTCAAATCGATATGACTTCTGGTGTTCGGCGTATCCCAGGAAACGACAGAGTGATGACTTGGAGTCGAACTTCGCGCGTTTGTCTTGAGGCACTTGAACATACGCGTGGCATCCAAACACTTTAAGGTTGGCCAGAATCGGTTTCTTCATCGTCCACACTTGATATGGAGACTTGTCTTGGTGAATGGCACGTGTTGGACAGCGGTTTCGAAGAAACATCGCCGTCATCACTGCTTCACCCCAGTAGCTCTTTCCCAGTCCAGCGTGTTCCATCATGCAACGCGCACACTCGACCAGCGTGCGATTCATTCTCTCAGCTACTCCGTTTAGCTGAGGAGTATATGGGGGTGTGAACCTTTGTTGTATTCCCCGTTCCGCGCAGAATCGTGCCAGCTTGTCGGACTTGTATTCACCCCCATTGTCGCTTTGAAGGTACTTCACGCGCTTTCCGGTTTGCGTTTCGGCCATCGCAGCGTATTCCATGAACTTCGCCGCAACTTCAGATTTGCTCTTGAGCAGATAGACGACACAGTATCTTGACTTGTCATCAATGAATGTCACGAAGTACCGTTTTCCACTGAAAGTTGCCATCGACATCGGTCCGCATACGTCGCTGTGAATCACTTCGAGGAGTTTGGAGGTGCGAGCTGTAGTGTTTGATTGGAAGCGCACTCGAGTCTGTTTTCCCAGAGCACAACCTTCACACACGTCCCACTTCTTCACCGAAGATATGTCGATGCCAATTCCAATGTTCTTCGTCACGATGCAATTGAGTCCATCGTGACCTATGTGGCCAAGCCGAAGGTGCCAGAGGGTACGACTTGGTGCCCCCTTGACATCCCGACGACTTGGCTGCATTTGCTTGTTCCGGCGCCACTGGAGTCATTTGCAGCTTGAACAGTCCTTTACCTTCACGGGCACCAATTTTCCACTTGGTCCCTTTCGCTTCTCCATAGCACCCATCCTTCGTGAACGTCACTGGGCCGACATCCTTGGTGAAGCGGCCGACCGAGAACAGGTTTCTGGATAACTTTGGGATGTGCCACACGTTTGTGAGCACACCTTTCTTCATCCCTTGGGGTGTCTTCATCGACATGACAATGTCCCCACTGCCGATTGCTTGGACGATTCCATCATCCGCGAGATGGACATCCACAGCGTCAAACCCCTTGTAGTTCCGCATGAACTTCTTGGAGCACGTCATGTGCTGCGTCGCCCCGGAGTCGACCAGCCAGATGTCGCTCGATTTCGCAGATGTCGTTTCACCGATCGAAAAGAGGTAGTCGCCCGAGTCTTCTTCTTGAGCGACGTTTGCACGTTGTGATCGATAGCGGTCGCCGCTGTCTTGAGCACGCTGTGGCCGGTGTCTCTCCGTGTTTTCTTGGATGCGCGAGGGGCACTCCGCCATCCAGTGACCAATCTTTCCGCAATTGTGGCACGGCCAGGACTTCTTCACTGGTCGCCCTTTGCGCTGATTGTCCCTTGTGATGAACGCTTGACCTTGCGAAGCTTCATCACCTTTACTTCCTTGCTCCTTCCGCTTCATTTCTTCATGAAGCAGTCGAGACGTCACGAGCTCCCAGCTAAGAGTGTCTGAGCGCGACTCCAAAGCTGTGATCAAGAATTGATACGAGTCACTCAGGCTGCCGAGGAGTGTGATCACCAGATCGTCCTCGCAGACTGGAGCCCCCACCGCTTCTAGCTGTTCCGCCAGCGTCTTGAGCTTGTTGATGTGTTCGAGCACATCGTCGCCTTCTTCCATCATTGTCGTGAAGAAGCGACGGCGCAAGAACAGCTTGTTGGCAAGACTCTTCTTCTCGAAGTGGTCTTCCAACCTTGACCATGCGTCGCATGCACCACTTGCCGACCGGACCAACGGTAGCTGGGAATCTTCCATGGCTAGACAGATCACTGCCATCGCCTTTCTTGACTTCCTCTTGTACGTCGCTTGGTCCAACTGAGTCTCGCACTGTTCCGCCTTGATCTCACCGCTGACGACCTCCCATAGGTCCCGTTCCTCCAGCACCATCTGCATCTTGAACTTCCAGGCGTGGAAGTTAGTTCCATCGAACTTGGAGATGCGGAGGGAGGAGGCGTCCATGGCAGCTAAGCTTGAATTGTTGGCGGTTTCAGAGTCTGACGAACTTGGGCTCATAACCTGATGAACTTTAGACTTCTTGGTCCGAGTGCAAAACGCAAAGTGAATATATATTTATAATAGGTACTTAGTTCGCAACTTTGAATACTACCTCTAAGCCTATTATTCGCAGTGACGTCATCCAGTGACGTCATTTCCTGACTTCGCCCTTACTGGTACATACCGGTACCCACCGGTATAGCGAAGCTTGGTCTTCCACTTGCTTCAACACTTGACGCAGCTTGACGAGGTGTCTTCTTCACAGCCGCTGTCTTTTCAACAACCCATCCGCCTTGCGCTTGATCTTGAAGACCCACTTTGTGCCAATGGCGCTTTGTCCGTTGGGTAACTTGGCCGCACGAAAGACACCGCGAAGCTTCATCGAATCGAGCTCCGCATCAATTGCCTTGCGCCAGTGTACTTGGTCCGGGCCAGACACTGCTTCTTCAAATGTCGACGGCTCCGAAAAATCGACCGCTGCTTCGACGGCGTTTGCACTCGCATGCCAAAACGCGGAGGAAGTCGGTGTGTCATGTTGTTCCTCCGACTTCCTTTCTTCATCTTCGTTGGCTCGACGTGAAGAGAGGTCATCCGGCGCACTTGACTCTTCCAATCCGGGTCGTTGGCGCACTGCTCGGGGCATGCTTGCGTCGTCATTGTCGTGACTGGGTTGGGCCTTGCGCTTTCCTGTTTGTTTGAAGTGTCTCGGACGCGGTTCTTCATCATCAAGATCGATCGATTCGAAGTCCAGGCCATCAACATCGTCATCGGAAATCAGCATCGACATTCCTAAGGCCGACTCATCGAAGTTGACATCGCGACTTATCATCACCTGCCCCGCTTCGATGTCATAAACTCGATACGCCTTGGACACTTCTTCGTAGCCCAAAAACAATCCAGCCCGGGCCTTGGGATCCCACTTGAGTCGTTTCTCCTTCGGGGTCAAGATGTATGCTTGGCACCCAAAAACGCGCATGTGCTTGACACTTGGCTTAGAATTGTAGACAATCTCGAACGGTGTCTTGTGTGGAATCTTGGGTGACGGCAAACGGTTCTTCACATAGACGGCCGTCATTGCCGCTTCAGCCCAGAAGCACTTGTCCAACTTGGCATGATGGAGCATGCTACGACCGATGGTGACGATAGTTCGAATCGCGCGTTCAGCAGTTCCATTGGCTTGATGTGCGTATGGCACCGTGGTTTGTTGCTCGATGCCTTCGACTTCGTAGAAATCTTGAAGCGAGTTCGTCGCAAACTCGCGGGCTCCATCGTGTCGCACAAATTTGACCTTCTTGTTGAACTGCGTCTGTATCATCGTGATGTACTTCTTGATGCACTCTTCGCTCTCTGACTTGGAATGCAGACAAAAACCCTTCATGCATCCGCTGGCTTCATCCACGATCAGCAGCAGATACTTGCTGCCACCCAGAGATTTTTCTTCCATGGGTCCGAAGATGTCGAAGTGGAGCATCTCGAAGGTGTTGTAGGTGCGCTTGTCACGGTTGCTCGGGAATGGTTTTTGGACCATCTTCCCTTCTTGGCATCCTCGACACTCACTTGATCCATTCGGCTTGGAAGGGATGTGAGCGTCCTTGATCATGTGACTTGTCACCATCCTGCGAAGCACGTCGACTGGAGCATGGCCCATTCGCGCATGTAGATCAACAGCGTTGCTGAGTGATGTCGCATTGGCCGATCGCTGCGTCGTGCGAAGCCAGTAGAGTCCGTCTACAAGATCCGCAGCTGCCACCACTTGATTGGAATCCTTGCGAGCGACGTACATCGTATCCCCGTCAAACACCACTTGGAAGTTGCCGTGCTTGTTAATCTGCGGCACCGAGAGCAGATTTTTGCTCATGCTGGGCACATAGAGCGCGTTCTTGATCTCGATCTCGCGCTCTTCCCCGTTTGGCAGAATCACCTTTTCCACGATGGTCCCCACACCTTTGATGGCCGCCTTGTTGCCATCAGCCACCAGGATCTCGCCATCATTGCCTTCGACCAAGCTTGCAAACTTGAACTTGTCGTGGCAGATGTGATGTGTTGCCCCGCTGTCAACGGCCCACATTCCTGGTCCATTCTTGTTCGTCGAAACTCCGCATTCGAACGAAACTGCAAACGCCACTCGATCGTAGCTGTTGCCTTCATCATAATGTCGCCACTGGACATTGTTTGCCCCGCGTCCACGACCATTGCCGCCGCGTTGGGCTCCTCGACTTTCATCCTTTTGCTTCGTCCAGCAACGCTCTGCCGTGTGCCCCACCTTGCCGCAGTATGTGCATTGGTAGGGCTTGCGCTCGGTACTGAATGCCTTTGTCGCATCTTCAGTCTTCACCGTTGTCGTTGCCGTTGTCATCTTCTCGCCTTGTCTCTTGATGTGCTCGTTAGCCAGCACCTTGACCACATCTTGCGTGCGCAGCTCTGCATTGCTCATCTCCAAGTTCAGAACCACGTTCTCGAAACTCTTCGGGAGACTGAGCAGCAAGCAGATCGCAATGTCTTCGTCTTCCATCTTGGCACCGATGCTGCTGAGCTTGGCGCCGATGTTCAAGACTTCGTTGCAATGGTGCAAGACGTTGGCACCTTCCGCCATCTTGATGCTGAACAGCTGGCGCTTGAGGTAGATGCGTCCCGCCTTCTGCGACCCACCATAGAGCATCTTCAACCGCGACCACGCTGTCCATGCTTCTTCACAGTTGTCGACCACATGGTGGTAGTCGGCGTCCATGTGGAGCAACATCAACCCGAACGCGATGTTGCTCGCCTTGACGTACTCGTCGGAAGCTCGCGTGTCGGTGAAGGTTGGAGACGTTTCGCGGTTCACGACGTACCAGACTGACTTCGTCAGAAACACGCCGCGCATGTAGCGACACCAGGTTGAGTAGTTGTCCCCATCGAACTTATCGATGGAGACACTGGCCGAGGTGTTGTTGGACGACATGGCGCTTGGGCTCATAACCTGTTGTAACTTGAGCGCGAGGCGAAGAGAAAACGAAGCGGAGAGACCGGAGATAACGAAGCAGAGAACACTTGCTCACTTGAGGGAGGATTCGAAAGTGATTGATTTATAGGTCTTAACTTCTGCCTACCCTAGACTGCATCCAATCACATGGTGCATCTAATCAACCTGATTTACACGCGTCCAATCATCCTACGCGTCTAATCATCTCTGAGGTAATTACCGATGTAAAAACTATCTCGTAAGAACTACGCGCTAGGTTCGGATTGTACCGGTAACCCTCAATACAAACGTTGTCGGCTCAGACAAATCAGTACCTTCGACTGCATTGGCACTCGCTCGCCAAAAGACTTGAGGTGTAGCATCCTCGTTATCTTCGTCACTGCTCTTTCGCTCTTCGTCCAGATTGGCTCGAGCGCTTGACCGTCGCTTCGCTTGGTGCGTTTCAAATTCATCCGGTGCACTTGCTTCTTCGAACCCGGTTCCACGACGCTCAGGAAGTGTCCGTTGTAGGGCTTGTTCTTGGCTGTTTGAACGGCTTTTGCGCTTTCCAATTTTCTTGAACTGCATAGGGTGAGGCTCGTCGCTGATGTTCATCGATTCGATATCCAGCGCAGTGTCATCAACAATTTCTTGTAGTAGCATCGGCGAGAAACCAAACGTTGATTCGTCGAATGTGACATCGCGAGATATCACCACTTGATCCGCTCCAATGTCGTAAACGCGATATGCCTTTGACACTTCTTCGTACCCCATGAATCATCCTGCACGAGTCTTTGGATCCCATTTCGATCTCTTTTCCTTAGGGGTCAGCACAAATGGTCGGCAGCCGAAAACCCGCATGTGCTTCACACTTGGTCGAAATCCGTTGACGATCTCGAACGGGGTTTAATCTTGGCACTTGGGCGATGGTAGGCGATTCTTGATGTAGATTGCCGTTGTTGCATTGGTAGAGAGCGGAGCTGATGGAGCGGAGAGGCTGAAGAGAGTGGAGAAGGAGAGACTTGCTCACTTGTTGGAAGATTCGAAAGTAATTGATTATCGGGGCTTACTACTTACTACATGATTTTTATGTGGTGCACATATAAATCATTTGAAGCGTCTCGTCATCCTACGCGTCTAATCAACTAGGGTAACCACCGTAAGAACTACGTCGTAAATACTAAGCTGAACAGGCGGTTCGGATTGGACCGGTCACGGTTACCAATACTGGTAGGAAACCGATGACCGTCAGCACGCCCCCTCAATGCGAACACGCACAAATCGCGAAAGCCGCCGTCATCTCCTTGTGGCGTGGCCCGTGAAGTCCCTTAGTCATGATGCCCGCTAACATCACCGCAGTTTCACAGTACTTGAGCTTCACTTCACCGCGCTTGACCTCATCACGGATGTGATGATACTTTATGTCAATGTGCTTGGCACGGCAGTGGTTGACCGGGTTCTTCGTCATCTTGATACACGACTGATTGTATTCATGGATCATGAGTTCCGGTCCTTCTTCATTGGCAGCCATCATGATATCACAAAGCAGACGATGAATCCACTTGCCCTCTTGAATCGCCAAGCTGAGTGCGATGTATTCGGCATCACTCGTGGACAACGAAACACTTGGCTGTTTCTTGCTGTTTGGCTTATAGCAAATCCCATGCGTCTTGGTGTCTTGCAGGTATCGGAGGATTCGCATAATTGCAACCCAGTGTTCTTTTTGGGGGTTCCCCATGAATCGTGACACATAGCCCACGGCGAACGCAGCGTTCGTGCGCGTTGCAGTGGTCAGATGCATCAACGCACCAACAGCTTCGCGAAAAGGAGCATTGACCTTGGTGGCTGCATCACTTGAAACAAGTCGAGAGCTCATGTCGACTGGACGTGCGACTGCCTTGCAATCATCCATGCCAAAGCGCTTGAGTATGTCATCTACATACCGACGCTGACGTAGTCTCACACTTCCATCTGCGCCGTCCAAAAGCTCGATTCCAAGCACAAATGCACACTTGCCGCTGTCAGTCATCTCGAATCGTGTCTTCAGGTCGGTCTTGGTGTGTGCAATTAGCTCGCATGAGCTACCGGTGATCAACACGTCATCCACATACACCAGCAGCAGCACGCATTGCCCTCCCACAATCCTTATGTAGAGACACGGGTCGAGGCTTGACGCTTGAAATCCAATAGCACACACGAACTCGTCAAACGTTTCGTTCCATACGCGCGACGCTTGCTTGAGTCCGTAGAATGCCTTCACCAACTCCAGACAATCGAAGGAGTCCTCCAATTCCACGCCTTCAGGGATGACGCAGAACACTTGTTCCTTCATGACACCATACAGGAATGCCGTCACCACGTCGAGTTGGTCGATGGTCTATCCGAAATACTTGGATACTGCAATCACCATGCGCAGCGTCACGTACTTGACGACGGGCGAGAATGTTTCCGTGTAGTCCATCCCATATTGTTTCTTGAAACCCTTTGCCACAAGACGCGCCTTGTACTTATCAATTGATCCGTCCGCTTTGCGCTTGATCTTGAAGACCCACTTCGTGCCAATGGCGCGATGTCCTTTAGGTAGCTTGGCTGCGCGGAATACTTCACGAAGTCGCATCGACTCAAGTTCCGCACGGATAGCTTCGCGCCAATGCACTTGATCAGGACCGCTCACCGCAGCTTCAAAAGTCGATGGCTCGGATAAGTCTACTGCCGTTTCGATGGCGTTCGCACTCGCACGCCAAAACACAGGCGGAGTCGATGCATCAGCATTCTTTGTTTCTTCATCTTCTTCTTGGTGGGTCGTGTGATTGTCTGGCGCACTTGATTCTTCTAGTCCAGGCCGTTGACGCACTGTGAGCGTGGGTGGAGCTGGTACTCCTTCATCATGGGGACGACTCTTGCGCTTGCCTGTTTGCTTGTACTGCGCTTGACCTGGCGCTTCATCATCCAGATCGAGGGAGTCGAAGTCAAGGTCATCGGCGTCTTTAGCGGTGGTTGGCGGCGAAAGTTTAAAGGTGGACTCGTCAAAGTTGACATCGCGACTGATGGACAACTGCCCCGCCTCGATGTCATAAACGCGATACGCTTTAGATGCTTCTTCGTAGCCCAAGAATATCCCAGTGCGAGCCTTGGGGTCCCACTTGAGACACTTCTCCTTCGGTTTCAGTATGTAAACCTGACAACCGAACACCCACATGTGCTTGACATTTTGCTTGGAGTTGTGGACGATCTCGAACGGAGTCTTGTGCATAACGTTAGGCGACGGCAGACGGTTCTTGACGTAGATTGCCGTCATTGCTGCTTCTGACCAGAAGCACTTTTCCAACTTGGCATGGTGGAGCATGCTGCGACCAATTGTGACGATAGTCCGAATGGCGCGCTCTACCGTGCAGTTGGTCTGGTGTGCATATGGCACCGTCTTCTGCTGCTCAATGCCTTCATCTTCGTAGAATTCTTGAAGCGAGTTGGTTGCGAACTCGCGGGCTCCGTCGTGTCGAACGAGCTTGACCTTCTTGCCAAACTGCGCTTGCACCATCTTGATGTATCGTGTGATGTAGTTTTCACTCTCCGACTTCACACGTAGACAGAAGCCCTTCATGCATCCACTGGCTTCGTCAAAGATCAGCAGTAGATATTTGCTGCCACCCAGAGAATTCATTTCTATGGGTCCGCATATGTCGACGTGAAGTAGCTCGAAGGTGTCGTATCTGCGATTGTCCTGGTTCCCTGGGAATGGTTTTTGGACCATTTTCTCTTGTTGACATCCTCGGCATGCGCTTGATCCATTTGACGTGAGAGGTACCTTCACATCCTTGATCATGTTCGTGGCCACCATTTTGCGAAGCACATCAGCTCGAGCGTGTCCCATTCGCGCATGTAAGTCGACACCGTTGCATCCGTTTGTTGTCGCATTGGCCGATCGATGAGCTGTGTGAAGCCAGTAAAGGCCATCCACAAGATATGCTGTTGCCACCACTTGGTGCGATCCTTTGCGAGCAGCAAACATCTTGTTCCCGTCGAACACCACTTAAAACTTGCCGTGCTTGTTGATCTGCGGTACCGATAGTAGATTCTTGCTCATGCTTGGTACGTAAAGTACGTTCTTGATCTCGATCTCACGCTCTTCACCGTCGGGCAGAACCACCTTTTCAAAGATGGTTCCAACACCCTTGATGGCCACTGTGTTGCCATCCGCCACCAAGATTTCACCGTCGTTGCGCTTGTTCAGTCTTGCAAACTTGGTCTTGTCGTGGCATATGTGGTGTGTTGCACCACTGTCGACTGCCTACATTCCGGACACGTCCTTCTTCGCTGAGAGTCCACACTCTAGCGAAACTGCAAGCGCTACTTGATCGTAGTCGCTGTCTTCATCACGATATTGTCCCCACTGGACATTGTTTGCCCCGCGTCCACGACCAATGCCGCCGCGTCGGGCCCCTCGACTTTCATTCTTCTGCTTGGACCAACAGCGATCGACGATGTGTCCCACCTTTTCACAGTAGGTGCACTTATGTGGCTCGCATTCAGTGTTGAAGGCGTTGGATGCATTTTCAGTCTTGACCATCGTCGCTGTTGTTGTCACCTTCTCCCCTTGGCGCTTGGTGCGCTCATTCGTGAGCACCTTCACCACATCTTGGGTATGAAGCTCTGCGCTGCTCATCTCCAAGTTTAGAACAACGTTCTCAAAACTCTTAGGGGGACTGAGCAGCAGGCAAATTGCGACGTCCTCGTCCTCCATCTTCGCGCCGATGCGGCTTAGCTTGGTGGCGATGTTCAAGACTTCATTGCAGTACTGCTTGACGTTCGCGCCTTTAGCCATCTTTATGCTGAACAGTTGACGCTTGAGGTAGATGCGCCCCTCCTTCTGTGATCCACTGTAGAGCGTCTTCAGGCGTGACCACGCGACCCATGCTTCCTCGCATTTGTCAGGCACACGGTGTAGTCCGCACCCAAGTGGAGCAACATCAGCCCGAACGCGATGTTGCTCGTCTCGACGTAATCGTCGGACGCTCGCGGGTCGGTAGGAATTGGCGTCACCTCGCGGTTCACGACGTGCCAGACGGACTTCATCAAGAACACACCACGCATGTACCGCCTCCAAGTAGCATAGTTGTCTTTATTGGACTTATCAATGAGACGCTGGATGATGCGTTGGTGGACGTCATGACGCTTGGGCTCATAAACTGTTGCATTGGTAGAGAGCGGAGCTGATGGAGCGGAGAGGCTGAAGAGAGTGGAGAAGGAGAGACTTGCTCACTAGTTGGAAGATTCGAAAGTGATTGATTTATCGGGACTTAATACTTACTACATGATTTACATGTGGTGTACATATAAATCATTTGAAGTGTCTCGTCATCCTACGCGTCTAATCAACTATACTAACTACCGTAAGAACTACGTCGTAAATACTAAGCTGAACAGGCGGTTCGGATTAAACGGTCATGGTTAACAAAAATGGTAGGAAACCGATGACCGTCAACTAAGAGCTTGATGAACTTTCGACTTCTTGGTCCGAGTGCAAAACGCAAAGTGAATATATATTTATAATAGGTACTTAGTTCGCAACTTTGAATACTACCTCTAAGCCTATTATTCGCAGTGACGTCATCCAGTGACGTCACCCACTGACGTCACCCACTGACGTCATCCAATGACGTCATTTCCTGACTTCGCCCTTACTGGTACATACCGGTACCCACCGGTATAGCGAAGCTTGGTCTTCCACTTGCTTCAACACTTGACGCAGCCTGACGAGGTGTCTTCTTCACAGCCGCTGTCTTTTCAACACTCCCTCTCGACTCGTTAGCTGCGGCACCTTGGATCCCAAGTCGATCGCGAATGTTTTCAAATTGTACAGCGGCGATCGGCTTGGTCATCATGTCTGCCAGCATATCTTGAGTCGGGCAATTCTCCAAAACGACTTCACCTGATTCCACCTTCTCACGCACAAAATGGTAGCGTATGTCGATGTGTTTTGTTCTCTTATGGAACTCCGGGTTCTTGGCGAGAGCGATTGATCCTTGGTTGTCTTCATACATCTTGATCGCTTCGTCGCTTGTCATCTCACCAAGTTCCCCCAAAAGCACCTTGAGCCATACTGCTTCTTTGGTTGCTTCGGAAAGCGCCATGTATTCTGCTTCTGTTGAAGATAGCGCGACCGTCCGTTGTTTCTGGCTTTTCCAGCTGATGCATCCTCCGTTCATCATGAACACATAGCCGCTTGTACTTCGTCTTGACTCAATGTCGCCGGCCCAGTCTGCGTCGGTGTACCCGCAGATACGGCTTCCTTCTTCACGTGTAAACTCAAGACCATGATTGGGCGTTGCTTGCAGGTATCTCAGCACACGCTTCAAAGCTTGCCAGTGAGTCGGGCATGGGTCGGACGAGAACTGGGATAATGATCCCACTGCAGCAGCTAGATCCGGACGTGTGGCGACCATGAGATACATGATGCCTCCGACAGCACTTCGATATGGCACGTTGCACATGGTGTCTTCGTGCTTGCATTCTTGTTCACACATGTTCTTGGTTAGCTTCAGGCCGGGATCTTGAGGCGTCTTCACTGGCTTGCTGTTATCCATTCCGAACTTGGTCAACACGGACTTGAGAAACTTGGTTTGTTGCACAGTCACCATTCCCGTCTTACGGTCGTTCTTGATCTCCATGCCAAGAAATTAATCGAGCTCACCGAGATCCGTCATTTCGAAGCGTTTGCTCAGCGCCATCTTGGTCGACTTGAGGAGTTCGTTGTTGCTGCTGGCCAGGATGAGATCATCGACGTAGAGCACCACGAGAATCATGTCTTGGTCGTCTCGCTTGATGTAGATGCAGTGGTCCGATTCGCACTTCTTGAATCCCATCTTGATCATGAACCCATCGATTGTTTGGTTCCACATGCGAGGCGATTGCTTCAAGCCGTAGAGTGATCTCTTTAGCTTGCACACATAGTCCGGCTGTGTTGCATCCAGGTATCCGTCCGGCTGGTCCATGTAGATGTCTTCGTTGAGGGAGCCGTTAAGAAACGCTGTCTTGACGTCCATCTGATGTAGCATTAGGCCGTACTTGGCCGCCATACTGAGCACCACACGAATCGATGTGAACTTGGCCACCGGTGCGAAAGTTTCTTCATAGTCAACTCCGAATTTCTGTGAGAATCCTTTGGCCACAAGTCTTGCCTTGAAACGTTCAACTTCGCCATCTTGATTCTCCTTTACACGAAAAACCCATCGGCACCCGATGGCCTTGCGACCTTTCGGAAGAGGCACGATTTCCCACGTGTCGTTTCTCTGAAGCGAGTCGAACTCCGAGTCACACGCTTCTTTCCACTTGCCGGAGTCGCTTGATTCCATCGCCGACTTGAATGTAGTCGGCGTTTCCCCCACTGAATCAACGATGTAGGCTGCTTCAAAATCCATTGCAGCCGCTGACACATGCTCAAGCGACGGACCTCTGTACGTTCTTCGCTTGGGACTTGGAATGACGGTAGCTTTCTCAAGTGATTGAGTGCGCGTGTGTCTCTTGATGTTGCTCTTCGAAGACCTGGTGTCTTCGTTGTCATCGTCGCTCGAGTCCATGTCGTCGTCAGTTTTGCCTTCTTCTTTTTCTTCGTCGTCGTCTTGATTGTCGAACTCAACCGCACTTGAATCATCGTTGTAGTTGCGTGGACCTTCATCAAACTTGTCTTCCATGAACGTGGCATCGCGACTGATCTTGATCGCTCCTGTTGATACTTCCTCGAATCGATATGACTTCTGGTGTTCGGCGTACCCCAGGAAACAACAGAGTGATGACTTGGAGTCGAACTTTGCGCGTTTGTCTTGAGGCACTTGAACATACGCGTGGCATCCAAACACTTTAAGGTTGGCCAGAATCGGTTTCTTCATCGTCCACACTTGATATGGAGACTTGTCTTGGTGAATGGCACGTGTTGGACAGCGGTTTCGAAGAAACATCGCCGTCATCACTGCTTCACCCCAGTAGCTCTTTCCCAGTCCAGCGTGTTCCATCATGCAACGCGCACACTCGACCAGCGTGCGATTCATTCTCTCAGCTACTCCGTTTAGCTGAGGAGTATATGGGGGTGTGAACCTTTGTTGTATTCCCCGTTCCGCGCAGAATCGTGCCAGCTTGTCGGACTTGTATTCACCCCCATTGTCGCTTTGAAGGTACTTCACGCGCTTTCCGGTTTGCGTTTCGGCCATCGCAGCGTATTCCATGAACTTCGCCGCAACTTCAGATTTGCTCTTGAGCAGATAGACGACACAGTATCTTGACTTGTCATCGATGAATGTCACGAAGTACCGTTTTCCACTGAAAGTTGCCATCGACATCGGTCCGCATACGTCGCTGTGAATCACTTCGAGGAGTTTGGAGGTGCGAGCTGTAGTGTTTGATTGGAAGCGCACTCGAGTCTGTTTTCCCAGAGCACAACCTTCACACACGTCCCACTTCTTCACCGAAGATATGTCGATGCCAATTCCAATGTCCTTCGTCACGATGCAATTGAGTCCATCGTGACCTATGTGGCCAAGCCGAAGGTGCCAGAGGTACGACTTGGTGCCCCCTTGACATCCCGACGACTTGGCTGCATTTGCTTGTTCCGGCGCCACTGGAGTCATTTGCAGCTTGAACAGTCCTTTACCTTCACGGGCACCAATTTTCCACTTGGTCCCTTTCGATTCTCCATAGCACCCATCCTTCGTGAACGTCACTGGGCCGACATCCTTGGTGAAGCGGCCGACCGAGAACAGGTTTCTGGATAGCTTTGGGATGTGCCACACGTTTGTGAGCACACCTTTCTTCATCCCTTGGGGTGTCTTCATCGACATGACAATGTCCCCACTGCCGATTGCTTGGACGATTCCATCATCCGCGAGATGGACATCCACAGCGTAAAACCCCTTGTAGTTCCGCATGAACTTCTTGGAGCACGTCATGTGCTGCGTCGCCCCGGAGTCGACCAGCCAGATGTCGCTCGATTACGCAGATGTCGTTTCACCGATCGAAAGAGGTAGTCGCCCGAGTCTTCTTCTTGAGCGACGTTTGCACGTTGTGATCGATAGCGGTCGCCGCTGTCTTGAGCACGCTGTGGCCGGTGTCTCTCCGTGTTTTCTTGGATGCGCGAGGGGCACTCCGCCATCCAGTGACCAATCTTTCCGCAATTGTGGCACGGCCAGGACTTCTTCACTGGTCGCCCTTTGCGCTGATTGTCCCTTGTGATGAACGCTTGACCTTGCGAAGCTTCATCACCTTTACTTCCTTGCTCCCTCCGCTTCATTTCTTCATGAAGCAGTCGAGACGTCACGAGCTCCCAGCTAAGAGTGTCTGAGCGCGACTCCAAAGCTGTGATCAAGAATTGATACGAGTCACTCAGGCTGCCGAGAAGTGTGATCACCAGATCGTCCTCGCAGACTGGAGCCCCCACCGCTTCTAGCTGTTCCGCCAGCGTCTTGAGCTTGTTGATGTGTTCGAGTACATCGTCGCCTTCTTCCATCATTGTCGTGAAGAAGCGACGGCGCAAGAACAGCTTGTTGGCAAGACTCTTCTTCTCGAAGTGGTCTTCCAACCTTGACCATGCGTCGCATGCACCACTTGCCGACCGGACCAACGGTAGCTGGGAATCTTCCATGGCTAGACAGATCACTGCCATCGCCTTTCTTGACTTCCTCTTGTACGTCGCTTGGTCCAACTGAGTCTCGCACTGTTCCGCCTTGATCTCACCGCTGACGACCTCCCATAGGTCCCGTTCCTCCAGCACCATCTGCATCTTGAACTTCCAGGCGTGGAAGTTAGTTCCATCGAACTTGGAGATGCGGAGGGAGGAGGCGTCCATGGCAGCTAAGCTTGAATTGTTGGCGGTTTCAGAGTCTGACGAACTTGGGCTCATAACCTGATGAACTTTAGACTTCTTGGTCCGAGTGCAAAACGCAAAGTGAATATATATTTATAATAGGTACTTAGTTCGCAACTTTGAATACTACCTCTAAGCCTATTATTCGCAGTGACGTCACCCACTGACGTCATGCAATGACGTCATCCAGTGACGTCACCCACTGACGTCATCCAATGACGTCATTTCCTGACTTCGCCCTTACTGGTACATACCGGTACCCACCGGTATAGCGAAGCTTGGTCTTCCACTTGCTTCAACACTTGACGCAGCCTGACGAGGTGTCTTCTTCACAGCCGCTGTCTTTTCAACAGAGCTCACCGTAATTATGGAACTGTAACTCACAGCAAATGCAATGTCCGGTCGTGTCGCGGTCATCAAGTGCATTAAAGCGCCTACTGCTTCACAAAACGGGGCGTCAATTTTGGTTACTGCACTGCTTGGTATGAGTCAAGAACTGATGTCTGTTGGGCTGGTGACGGCTTTGCAGTCGCTCATGCCAAAACGCTTGAGAACATCTTCCACGTAGCGTCGCTGGCACATCGTCACGCTACCGTTGTCGTTGTCCACCAGCTCGATGCCCAACACGAATGCGCACTTGCCGCTGTCAGTCATTTCGAAACGCGCCTTCAAGCCACTCTTGGTGCGCATAATCAGTTCGGTCGAGCTGCCAGTCACCAACACATCATCGACGTATACCAGCAAAAGCACGCACTCGCCACTTGTAATCTTGAGATAAAGACACGGGTCAAAATGAGATACTTGAAATCCAATGGAGCAGACGAACTCATAGAAATTTCCTTCCATACGCGCGATGCTTGTTTTAGTCCGTAGATCGCCTTCAACAATTCGAAGCAGTCAAAGTCTTCATCAACTTCGACCCCTTCTGGGATCGCGCAGAATACCTTTTCCTTCATCTCTTCGCATAGCAAAGCTGTCACCACGTCCAGTAGGTCCAGTGTCCAGTCAAAGTACTTCGTGATTGCAACTACCATGCGCAGCGTCACGTACTTGACTACCGGCAAAAACGTCTCCGTGTAGTCGATGCCATATTTCTGCTTGAACCCTTTTGCCACGAGACGCGCCTTGTATTTCTCGATGGATCCATCAGCTTTCCGCTTGATATTGAATACCCACTTGGTGCCAATGGTATGCTGTCCAGCTGGCTGTTTGGGCGCTCGAAGCACGCCACGAAGTTTCATCGAGTCCAACTCAGCACAGATTGCTTCACACCAATGCACTTGATCCGGTCCATCAACAGCATCTTTAAACGTTGTCGGCTCAGACAAGTCAGTACCTTCGACTGCGTTGACACTCACTCGCCAAAAGACTTGAGGTGTAGCATCCTCGTTATCTTCGTCACTGCCCTTTTGCTCTTCGTCCAGATTTGCTCGAGCGCTTGACCGTCGCTTCGCTTGGTGCGTTTCAAATTCATCCGGTGCACTTGCTTCTTCGAACCCGGTTCCACGACGCTCAGGAAGTGTCCGTTGTAGAGCTTGTTCTTGGCTGTTTGAACGGCTTTTGCGTTTTCCAATTTGCTTGAACTCCATAGGGTGAGGCTCATCGCTGATGTTCATCGATTTGATATCCAGCGCAGTGTCATCAACAATTTCTTGTGGTAGCGTCGGCGAGAAACCAAATGTTGATTCGTCGAATGTGACATCGCGAGATATCACCACTTGATCCGCTTCAATGTCGTAAACGCGATATGCCTTTGACACTTCTTCGTACCCCATGAATCGTCCTTCACGAGCCTTCGGATCCCATTTCGATCTCTTTTCCTTAGGGGTCAGCACAAACGTTCGGCAGCCGAAAACCCGCATGTGCTTCACACTTGGTCGAAATCCGTTGACAATCTCGAACGGGGTTTGATCTTGGCACTTGGGCGATGGTAGGCGATTCTTGATGTAGATCGCCGTCATTGCTGCTTCAACTCAAAAAAACTTGTCCAGCTTGGCGTAGTGAAGCATGCTGCGCCCGATCGTCACAATGGTCCGAATTGCCCGTTCCGCCGTGCCGTTGGTCTGATGCGCATATGGAACGGTAACTTGCTGCTCGATTCGTTGATCATCGTAAAATGCCTTGAGCGAATTTGCCACATATTCGCGTGCACCATCGTGACGAACGAACTTGACCTTGTAGTCAAACTGCGTCTGTACTGCCACGATGTACTTCTTGATGCACTCTTCGCTGTCGGAGTTGGCGCGCAGACTGAAACCCTTCATACATCCGCTGCCTTCATCTACGGTCAGTAGCAAGTACTTGCTTCTGTTGAAAAGACAGCGGCTGTGAAGAAGACACCTCGTCAAGCTGCGTCAAGTGTTGAAGCAAGTGGAAGACCAAGCTTCGCTATACCGGTGGGTACCGGTATGTACCAGTAAGGGCGAAGTCAGGAAATGACGTCACTGGATGACGTCATTGCATGACGTCAGTGGGTGACGTCAGTGGGTGACGTCACTGGATGACGTCACTGCGAATAATAGGCTTAGAGGTAGTATTCAAAGTTGCGAACTAAGTACCTATTATAAACATATATTCACTTTGCGTTTTGCACTCGGACCAAGAAGTCTAAAGTTCATCAGGTTATGAGCCCAAGTTCGTCAGACTCTGAAACCGCCAACAATTCAAGCTTAGCTGCCATGGACGCCTCCTCCCTCCGCATCTCCAAGTTCGATGGAACTAACTTCCACGCCTGGAAGTTCAAGATGCAGATGGTGCTGGAGGAACGGGACCTATGGGAGGTCGTCAGCGGTGAGATCAAGGCGGAACAGTGCGAGACTCAGTTGGACCAAGCGACGTACAAGAGGAAGTCAAGAAAGGCGATGGCAGTGATCTGTCTAGCCATGGAAGATTCCCAGCTACCGTTGGTCCGGTCGGCAAGTGGTGCATGCGACGCATGGTCAAGGTTGGAAGACCACTTCGAGAAGAAGAGTCTTGCCAACAAGCTGTTCTTGCGCCGTCGCTTCTTCACGACAATGATGGAAGAAGGCGACGATGTGCTCGAACACATCAACAAGCTCAAGACGCTGGCGGAACAGCTAGAAGCGGTGGGGGCTCCAGTCTGCGAGGACGATCTGGTGATCACACTTCTCGGCAGCCTGAGTGACTCGTATCAATTCTTGATCACAGCTTTGGAGTCGCGCTCAGACACTCTTAGCTGGGAGCTCGTGACGTCTCGACTGCTTCATGAAGAAATGAAGCGGAAGGAGCAAGGAAGTAAAGGTGATGAAGCTTCGCAAGGTCAAGCGTTCATCACAAGGGACAATCAGCGCAAAGGGCGACCAGTGAAGAAGTCCTGGCCGTGCCACAATTGCGGAAAGATTGGTCACTGGATGGCGGAGTGCCCCTCGCGCATCCAAGAAAACACGGAGAGACACCGGCCACAGCGTGCTCAAGACAGCGGCGACCGCTATCGATCACAACGTGCAAACGTCGCTCAAGAAGAAGACTCGGGCGACTACCTCTTTTCGATCGGTGAAACGACATCTGCGAAATCGAGCGACATCTGGCTGGTCGACTCCGGGGCGACGCAGCACATGACGTGCTCCAAGAAGTTCATGCGGAACTACAAGGGGTTTGACGCTGTGGATGTCCATCTCGCGGATGATGGAATCGTCCAAGCAATCGGCAGTGGGGACATTGTCATGTCGATGAAGACACCCCAAGGGATGAAGAAAGGTGTGCTCACAAACGTGTGGCACATCCCAAAGTTATCCAGAAACCTGTTCTCGGTCGGCCGCTTCACCAAGGATGTCGGCCCAGTGACGTTCACGAAGGATGGGTGCTATGGAGAAGCGAAAGGGACCAAGTGGAAAATTGGTGCCCGTGAAGGTAAAGGACTGTTCAAGCTGCAAATGACTCCAGTGGCGCCGGAACAAGCAAATGCAGCCAAGTCGTCGGGATGTCAAGGGGGCACCAAGTCGTACCTCTGGCACCTTCGGCTTGGCCACATAGGTCACGATGGACTCAATTGCATCGTGACGAAGAACATTGGAATTGGCATCGACATATCTTCGGTGAAGAAGTGGGACGTGTGTGAAGGTTGTGCTCTGGGAAAACAGACTCGAGTGCGCTTCCAATCAAACACTACAGCTCGCACCTCCAAACTCCTCGAAGTGATTCACAGCGACGTATGCGGACCGATGTCGATGGCAACTTTCAGTGGAAAACGGTACTTCGTGACATTCATCGATGACAAGTCAAGATACTGTGTCGTCTATCTGCTCAAGAGCAAATCTGAAGTTGTGGCGAAGTTCATGGAATACGCTGCGATGGCCGAAACGCAAACCGGAAAGCGCGTGAAGTACCTTCAAAGCGACAATGGGGGTGAATACAAGTCCGACAAGCTGGCACGATTCTGCGCGGAACGGGGAATACAACAAAGGTTCACACCCCCATATACTCCTCAGCTAAACGGAGTAGCTGAGAGAATGAATCGCACGCTGGTCGAGTGTGCGCGTTGCATGATGGAACACGCTGGACTGGGAAAGAGCTACTGGGGTGAAGCAGTGATGACGGCGATGTTTCTTCGAAACCGCTGTCCAACACGTGCCATTCACCAAGACAAGTCTCCATATCAAGTGTGGACGATGAAGAAACCGATTCTGGCCAACCTTAAAGTGTTTGGATGCCACGCGTATGTTCAAGTGCCTCAAGACAAACGCGCGAAGTTCGACTCCAAGTCATCACTCTGTCGTTTCCTGGGATACGCCGAACACCAGAAGTCATATCGATTCGAGGAAGTGTCAACAGGAGCGATCAAGATCAGTCGCGATGCCACATTCATGGAAGACAAGTTTGATGAAGGTCCGCGCAACTACAACGATGAGTCAAGTGTCGTTGAGTTTGATGATCATGATGAGGACGAAGAAAAAGAAGAAGGCAAAACTGACGACGACATGGACTCGAGCGACGATGACAACGAAGACACCAGGTCTTCGAAGAGCAACATCAAGAGACACACGCGCACTCAATCAGTTGAGAAAGCTACCGTCATTCCAAGTCCCAAGCGAAGAACATACAGAGGTCCGTCGCTTGAGCATGTTTCAGCGGCTGCAATGGATTTTGAAGCAGCCTACATCGTTGATTCAGTGGGGGAAACGCCGACTACATTCAAGTCGGCGATGGAATCAAGCGACTCCGGCAAGTGGAAAGAAGCGTGTGACTCGGAGTTCGATTCGCTTCAGAGAAACGACACGTGGGAAATCGTGCCTCTTCCGAAAGGTCGCAAGGCCATCGGGTGCCGATGGGTTTTTCGTGTAAAGGAGAATCAAGATGGCGAAGTTGAACGTTTCAAGGCAAGACTTGTGGCCAAAGGATTCTCACAGAAATTCGGAGTTGACTATGAAGAAACTTTCGCACCGGTGGCCAAGTTCACATCGATTCGTGTGGTGCTCAGTATGGCGGCTAAGTACGGCCTAATGCTACATCAGATGGACGTCAAGACAGCGTTTCTTAACGGCTCCCTCAACGAAGACATCTACATGGACCAGCCGGACGGATACCTGGATGCAACACAGCCGGACTATGTGTGCAAGCTAAAGAGATCACTCTACGGCTTGAAGCAATCGCCTCGCATGTGGAACCAAACAATCGATGGGTTCATGATCAAGATGGGATTCAAGAAGTGCGAATCGGACCACTGCATCTACATCAAGCGAGACGACCAAGACATGATTCTCGTGGTGCTCTACGTCGATGATCTCATCCTGGCCAGCAGCAACAACGAACTCCTCAAGTCAACCAAGATGGCGCTGAGCAAACGCTTCGAAATGACGGATCTCGGTGAGCTCGATTACTTTCTCGGCATGGAGATCAAGAACGACCGTAAGACGGGAATGGTGACTGTACAACAAACCAAGTTTCTCAAGTCCGTGTTAACCAAGTTCGGAATGGATAACAGCAAGCCAGTGAAGACGCCTCAAGATCCCGGCCTGAAGCTAACCAAGAACATGTGTGAACAAGAATGCAAGCACGAAGACACCATGTGCAACGTGCCATATCGAAGTGCTGTCGGAGGCATCATGTATCTCATGGTCGCCACACGTCCGGATCTAGCTGCTGCAGTGGGATCATTATCCCAGTTCTCGTCCGACCCATGCCCGACTCACTGGCAAGCTTTGAAGCGTGTGCTGAGATACCTGCAAGCAACGCCCAATCATGGTCTTGAGTTTACACGTGAAGAAGGAAGCCGTATCTGCGGGTACACCGACGCAGACTGGGCCGGCGACATTGAGTCAAGACGAAGTACAAGCGGCTATGTGTTCATGATGAACGGAGGATGCATCAGCTGGAAAAGCCAGAAACAACGGACGGTCGCGCTATCTTCAACAGAAGCAGAATACATGGCGCTTTCCGAAGCAACCAAAGAAGCAGTATGGCTCAAGGTGCTTTTGGGGAACTTGGTGAGATGACAAGCGACGAAGCGATCAAGATGTATGAAGACAACCAAGGATCAATCGCTCTCGCCAAGAACCCGGAGTTCCATAAGAGAACAAAACACATCGACATACGCTACCATTTTGTGCGTGAGAAGGTGGAATCAGGTGAAGTCGTTTTGGAGTATTGCCCGACTCAAGATATGCTGGCAGACATGATGACCAAGCCGATCGCCGCTGTACAATTTGAAAACATTCGCGATCGACTTGGGATCCAAGGTGCCGCAGCTAACGAGTCGAGAGGGAGTGTTGAAAAGACAGCGGCTGTGAAGAAGACACCTCGTCAAGCTGCGTCAAGTGTTGAAGCAAGTGGAAGACCAAGCTTCGCTATACCGGTGGGTACCGGTATGTACCAGTAAGGGCGAAGTCAGGAAATGACGTCACTGGATGACGTCATTGCATGACGTCAGTGGGTGACGTCAGTGGGTGACGTCACTGGATGACGTCACTGCGAATAATAGGCTTAGAGGTAGTATTCAAAGTTGCGAACTAAGTACCTATTATAAATATATATTCACTTTGCGTTTTGCACTCGGACCAAGAAGTCTAAAGTTTATCACATAGGGTGAGGCTCGTCGCTGATGTTCATCGATTCGATATCCAGCGCAGTGTCATCAACAATTTCTTGTGGTAGCGTCGGCGAGAAACCAAACGTTGATTCGTCGAATGTGACATCGCGAGATATCACCACTTCTTGAGGGTCATCGGTTTCTACCAGTATTGGTAACCGTGACCGGTCCAATCCGAACCGCCTGTTCAGCTTAGTATTTACGACGTAGTTCTTACGGTAGTTACCATAGTTGATTAGACGCGTAGGATGATGAGACGCTTCACATGATTTATATGTGCACCACATATAAATCATGTAGTAAGTAGTAAGCCCCGATAATCAATCACTTTCCAATCTTCCATCTACCCCCCAAGTGTCTTCTCCGGTCTTCCGAGTGGACTCCCAGCATCACTCCCAGTTTCGGTCGTCAATCTTTTCACCTTACAACAGGTTATGAGCCCAAGCACGATGTCCTCTGCTCACGATGCCACCACCAAGATCTCCATTGACAAGTTCGACGGCGACAACTACGCGATGTGGAGCCGCTACATGCGTGGCGTGTTCCTGACCAAGTCGGCGTGGCACGTGGTGAACCGGGAGACCACCCCCCACCTTCGCCGATCCTCGCGCCAGTGACGACTACGTCAAGACGAACAACATTGCGTTCGGCTTGATGCTTCTGCACATGAGCGCGGATTATCATCACGTGGTTGATGACTGTGAAGAGGCGTGGGTCGCGTGGGCGCGTTTGAAGACGCTGTACGGCGGGTCGCAGAAGGCTGGACGCATCTACTTGAAGCGCCAGTTGTTCAGCATGGAGATGGCGGAAGGCGGCAATGTGATGCATCATTGCAACGAAGTCCTCAACATCAGCGCGAAGCTCAGCAGCATCGGCGCCAAGATGGAGGACGAGGACGTTGCGATCTGCTTACTGCGCAGTCTGCCCAAGATTTCGAGAACGGGGTTCTCAACTTGGAGATGAACAGCGCGGAACTGCGATCGCGAGACGTCGTGAGAGTGCTCACGAATGAGCACATCAAGAGGCAAGGTGACAAGACGACATCGGTGAAGACTGAAGACGCGGCCATGGCGTTCAGTACCGAGCGTGAACCCCACCAATGCACGTACTGCGGAAAATTGGGGCACACGGCGGAGCGGTGCTGGACCAAGCAGAAGGACGAAAATCAAGGTGGAGCTCGACGCGGCGGCAACAATGCTCGTGGACGCGGAGCCAACAATGTTCAGTGGCGAACCAACAGCAACTACGACGACAACTACGATCGAGTTGCGTTCGCGGTTTCGCTGGAGGCTGGACTTTCGACGGGCAAGAATATGCCAGGGATGTGGGCAGTCGACAGCGGTGCGACGCATCACATCTGCAACGACAAGGCCAAGTTTGCAAGTCTGAATGAGCGAGAGGAAGGCGAACTATCAGTGGCTGATGGCAGCAAGGCTGCGATCAAGGGTGTGGGAACCATCATGGAACGGGTGGTTCTGCCCAATGGTGACGAACGCGACATCGAGATCAAGGACGCACTGTTCGTACCAAGTATGAGCAAGAATCTGCTTTCGGTGCCACAGATCAACAAGGGTGGCAGGTTCCAAGTCGTGTTCGATGGATCCAAGATGCAAGTGAAGCGCAAGAATTCCACACAAGTCGTGGCAACAGCGGATCTCGTCGATGGACTTTACTGGCTGCGGACTCCTCAACGATCGGCAAATGCAGCAACACGCAATGGGACTATCGACTTGCATGCGCGCATGGGTCATGCACCCCTCGAAGTTCTGCGCAAGATGGTGGCCACTGGCATGATCAAGGACGCCAAGGCACCTCTCAACTCGACTAGTCCAAGTGTGTGTCGCGGTTGCCAGCAAGGAAAGATGGTCCAAAAACCATTCCCAACCAACCGTGACAAACGCCAATATGGTGTGTTCGAGTTGCTGCACTTCGACATCTGCGGGCCAATGGAACAAGTCTCGATCGGCGGCAGCAAATACTTACTGCTTGTGGTTGACGAAGCTAGCGGTTGCATGAAGGGCTTCTGTCTGCGGTCCAAGTCTGAGAGTGAAGACTGTATCAAGAACCACATTATCAAGATTCAAACTCAGTTCGGCACGAAGATCAAGTTTGTTCGGCACGATGGAGCGCATGAGTTTGCGACCAACTCCATCAAGACCTTCTACGAAGATCATGGTATCGAACAACAGATCACGGTGCCGTATGCACACCAGACCAACGGCACCGCAGAAAGCGCGATAAGGACCATCGTCACGATCGGACGCAGCTTGTTGCATCATGCAAAACTGGAGAAGTGTTTCTGGGCTGAAGCGGCAATGACGGCGATCTACATCAAGAACCGCCTGCCTTCACCCAAGATCGACCACAAGACTCCGTTCGAAATCGTGTACAAGTCGAAACCAAGTGTCAAGCACATGCGCATGTTTGGATGTCGGGCGTTTATCCTGACACCAAGGGAGAAGCGATTGAAGTGGGACCCGAAGGCTCGTGAAGGGATGTTCATGGGCTACGAAGAAGCGTCAAAAGCTTATCGAGTGTACGACATTGAGGCGGACCAAGTGGTGATCAGTCGTGACATCACCTTCGACGAATCGACTTTTGATTTTTCTATAGACCGACCAAGTGACGATGATGAAGATGCGGAGTTGGACCTCGACCTCCTAGCGATCAACGAGGACGACGTGCGTCAAACCGTCTACAAGCAGACTGGCAAGCGCAAGAGTGAAGCAAGACCCGGCATGTCACGTTCAGCTCGCCCCCGAACTGGGTTGGAACAAGCAAGTGCGCCGGCACACGTCTCCAACCGTCACCAGAAACGACGATCAAGTGCTCCAGAAACGATGTCTGATGACGAAGAAGATGCAAGCGTCTACGATCAAGATGACGACTCGACGCCTCCAACAAATTGGCGTGCAAGTGCAAACGCAGTGGAAGCAACGGACCTAGCAGAACCTGTGACTTTTCAAGACGCGATCAATGGTCCTGATCAAGATCACTGGCGAAATGCTGTGAAGGCGGAACTCAAGTCGATGCATCTTCGTGGAGTTTTCCGTGCGGCAAAACTACCAAGAGGCCAAGGCGCGATCGGCACCAAGTGGGTGTTCAAGATCAAGCGCAAAGCGGATGGATCGGTCGAGAAATACAAGGCGCGTCTCGTTGCCAAGGGCTTCAAGCAGAAGTACGGCATCGACTACACAGAGACGTTCTCGCCCGTGGTCAAGTACGTGACACTGCGTATGGTGATCGCGATCACCAAGTATTTCGACTGGCCACTGGACCAACTCGATGTGGTGACAGCCTTTCTCTACGGAGTGATGAAGGAGAAGGTGTACTGCGTGATACCAGAAGGCGTCGAGATGGATGGCGACTTCGACTGTCTCGAGTTGGTGAAGGCGATCTACGGTCTCAAGCAAGCTTCACGTGTGTGGAACGAGACTTTCGACGAGTTTGTATGCTCTATCGGTTTCGAAGCGTCGGCGTTCGACCCATGTCTCTACATCAAGGTTGTCGACGGTCACTGTGTGCTCGTGCTGGTCTACGTGGATGACGTGTTGGTCACCGGCAGCTCGCTCGAGTTGATTGCGCAGACGAAGGCCGACCTCAAGACGCGTTTCGAGATGACCGACAGTGGCAAGTGTACTTTTGTACTGGGCATCGAACTGGTGGACGAATCGGATGGCATCGTGACGATGTGCCAGCGACGGTATGTCAACGACATCCTCAAGCGCTTCGGCATGGATGAGTGCAAGGCCACAGCAAGTCCGGTCGACTTGAGCACTCGGCTTGTCGCAAACACCGAAGCGGCCAAGATCGACGTTCCGTTTCGTGAAGCTGTGGGAGCTTTGATGCACTTGACGACTGCGACGTGATGAACTTTAGACTTCTTGGTCCGAGTGCAAAACGCAAAGTGAATATATATTTATAATAGGTACTTAGTTCGCAACTTTGAATACTACCTCTAAGCCTATTATTCGCAGTGACGTCATCCAGTGACGTCACCCACTGACGTCATGCAATGACGTCATCCAGTGACGTCATTTCCTGACTTCGCCCTTACTGGTACATACCGGTACCCACCGGTATAGCGAAGCTTGGTCTTCCACTTGCTTCAACACTTGACGCAGCTTGACGAGGTGTCTTCTTCACAGCCGCTGTCTTTTCAACACTCCCTCTCGACTCGTTAGCTGCGGCACCTTGGATCCCAAGTCGATCGCGAATGTTTTCAAATTGTACAGCGGCGATCGGCTTGGTCATCATGTCTGCCAGCATATCTTGAGTCGGGCAATACTCCAAAACGACTTCACCTGATTCCACCTTCTCACGCACAAAATGGTAGCGTATGTCGATGTGTTTTGTTCTCTTATGGAACTCCGGGTTCTTGGCGAGAGCGATTGATCCTTGGTTGTCTTCATACATCTTGATCGCTTCGTCGCTTGTCATCTCACCAAGTTCCCCCAAAAGCACTTTGAGCCATACTGCTTCTTTGGTTGCTTCGGGAAAGCGCCATGTATTCTGCTTCTGTTGAAGATAGCGCGACCGTCCGTTGTTTCTGGCTTTTCCAGCTGATGCATCCTCCGCTCATCATGAACACATATCCGCTTGTACTTCGTCTTGACTCAATGTCGCCGGCCCAGTCTGCGTCGGTGTACCCGCAGATACGGCTTCCTTCTTCACGTGTAAACTCAAGACCATGATTGGGCGTTGCTTGCAGGTATCTCAGCACACGCTTCAAAGCTTGCCAGTGAGTCGGGCATGGGTCGGACGAGAACTGGGATAATGATCCCACTGCAGCAGCTAGATCCGGACGTGTGGCGACCATGAGATACATGATGCCTCCGACAGCACTTCGATATGGCACGTTGCACATGGTGTCTTCGTGCTTGCATTCTTGTTCACACATGTTCTTGGTTAGCTTCAGGCCGGGATCTTGAGGCGTCTTCACTGGCTTGCTGTTATCCATTCCGAACTTGGTTAACACGGACTTGAGAAACTTGGTTTGTTGTACAGTCACCATTCCCGTCTTACGGTCGTTCTTGATCTCCATGCCGAGAAAGTAATCGAGGCTCACCGAGATCCGTCATTTCGAAGCGTTTGCTCAGCGCCATCTTGGTTGACTTGAGGAGTTCGTTGTTGCTGCTGGCCAGGATGAGATCATCGACGTAGATCACCACGAGAATCATGTCTTGGTCGTCTCGCTTGATGTAGATGCAGTGGTCCGATTCGCACTTCTTGAATCCCATCTTGATCATGAACCCATCGATTGTTTGGTTCCACATGCGAGGCGATTGCTTCAAGCCGTAGAGTGATCTTTTTAGCTTGCACACATAGTCCGGCTGTGTTGCATCCAGGTATCCGTCCGGCTGGTCCATGTAGATGTCTTCGTTGAGGGAGCCGTTAAGAAACGCTGTCTTGACGTCCATCTGATGTAGCATTAGGCCGTACTTGGCCGCCATACTGAGCACCACACGAATCGATGTGAACTTGGCCACCGGTGCGAAAGTTTCTTCATAGTCAACTCCGAATTTCTGTGAGAATCCTTTGGCCACAAGTCTTGCCTTGAAACGTTCAACTTCGCCATCTTGATTCTCCTTTACACGAAAAACCCATCGGCACCCGATGGCCTTGCGACCTTTCGGAAGAGGCACGATTTCCCACGTGTCGTTTCTCTGAAGCGAATCGAACTCCGAGTCACACGCTTCTTTCCACTTGCCGGAGTCGCTTGATTCCATCGCCGACTTGAATGTAGTCGGCGTTTCCCCCACTGAATCAACGATGTAGGCTGCTTCAAAATCCATTGCAGCCGCTGACACATGCTCAAGCGACGGACCTCTGTATGTTCTTCGCTTGGGACTTGGAATGACGGTAGCTTTCTCAAGTGATTGAGTGCGCGTGTGTCTCTTGATGTTGCTCTTCGAAGACCTGGTGTCTTCGTTGTCATCGTCGCTCGAGTCCATGTCGTCGTCAGTTTTACCTTCTTCTTTTTCTTCGTCCTCGTCTTGATCATCAAACTCAACGACACTTGACTCATCGTTGTAGTTGCGCGGACCTTCATCAAACTTGTCTTCCATGAATGTGGCATCGCGACTGATCTTGATCGCTCCTGTTGACACTTCCTCAAATCGATATGACTTCTGGTGTTCGGCGTATCCCAGGAAACGACAGAGTGATGACTTGGAGTCGAACTTCGCGCGTTTGTCTTGAGGCACTTGAACATACGCGTGGCATCCAAACACTTTAAGGTTGGCCAGAATCGGTTTCTTCATCGTCCACACTTGATATGGAGACTTGTCTTGGTGAATGGCACGTGTTGGACAGCGGTTTCGAAGAAACATCGCCGTCATCACTGCTTCACCCCAGTAGCTCTTTCCCAGTCCAGCGTGTTCCATCATGCAACGCGCACACTCGACCAGCGTGCGATTCATTCTCTCAGCTACTCCGTTTAGCTGAGGAGTATATGGGGGTGTGAACCTTTGTTGTATTCCCCGTTCCGCGCAGAATCGTGCCAGCTTGTCGGACTTGTATTCACCCCCCATTGTCGCTTTGAAGGTACTTCACGCGCTTTCCGGTTTGCGTTTCGGCCATCGCAGCGTATTCCATGAACTTCGCCACAACTTCAGATTTGCTCTTGAGCAGATAGACGACACAGTATCTTGACTTGTCATCAATGAATGTCACGAAGTACCGTTTTCCACTGAAAGTTGCCATCGACATCGGTCCGCATACGTCGCTGTGAATCACTTCGAGGAGTTTGGAGGTGCGGGCTGTAGTGTTTGATTGGAAGCGCACTCGAGTCTGTTTTCCCAGAGCACAACCTTCACACACGTCCCACTTCTTCACCGAAGATATGTCGATGCCAATTCCAATGTTCTTCGTCACGATGCAATTGAGTCCATCGTGACCTATGTGGCCAAGCCGAAGGTGCCAGAGGTACGACTTGGTGCCCCCTTGACATCCCGACGACTTGGCTGCATTTGCTTGTTCCGGCGCCACTGGAGTCATTTGCGGCTTGAACAGTCCTTTACCTTCACGGGCACCAATTTTCCACTTGGTCCCTTTCGCTTCTCCATAGCACCCATCCTTCGTGAACGTCACTGGACCGACATCCTTGGTGAAGCGGCCGACCGAGAACAGGTTTCTGGATAACTTTGGGATGTGCCACGCGTTTGTGAGCACACCTTTCTTCATCCCTTGGGGTGTCTTCATCGACATGACAATGTCCCCACTGCCGATTGCTTGGACGATTCCATCATCCGCGAGATGGACATCCACAGCGTCAAACCCCTTGTAGTTCCGCATGAACTTCTTGGAACACGTCATGTGCTGCGTCGCCCCGAGTCGACCAGCCAGATGTCGCTCGATTTCGCAGATGTCGTTTCACCGATCGAAAAGAGGTAGTCGCCCGAGTCTTCTTCTTGAGCGACGTTTGCACGTTGTGATCGATAGCGGTCGCCGCTGTCTTGAGCACGCTGTGGCCGGTGTCTCTCCGTGTTTTCTTGGATGCGCGAGGGGCACTCCGCCATCCAGTGACCAATCTTTCCGCAATTGTGGCACGGCCAGGACTTCTTCACTGGTCGCCCTTTGCGCTGATTGTCCCTTGTGATGAACGCTTGACCTTGCGAAGCTTCATCACCTTTACTTCCTTGCTCCTTCCGCTTCATTTCTTCATGAAGCAGTCGAGACGTCACGAGCTCCCAGCTAAGAGTGTCTGAGCGCGACTCCAAAGCTGTGATCAAGAATTGATACGAGTCACTCAGGCTGCCGAGGAGTGTGATCACCAGATCGTCCTCGCAGACTGGAGCCCCCCACCGCTTCTAGCTGTTCCGCCAGCGTCTTGAGCTTGTTGATGTGTTCGAGTACATCGTCGCCTTCTTCCATCATTGTCGTGAAGAAGCGACGGCGCAAGAACAGCTTGTTGGCAAGACTCTTCTTCTCGAAGTGGTCTTCCAACCTTGACCATGCGTCGCATGCACCACTTGCCGACCGGACCAACGGTAGCTGGGAATCTTCCATGGCTAGACAGATCACTGCCATCGCCTTTCTTGACTTCCTCTTGTACGTCGCTTGGTCCAACTGAGTCTCGCACTGTTCCGCCTTGATCTCACCGCTGACGACCTCCCATAGGTCCCGTTCCTCCAGCACCATCTGCATCTTGAACTTCCAGGCGTGGAAGTTAGTTCCATCGAACTTGGAGATGCGGAGGGAGGAGGCGTCCATGGCAGCTAAGCTTGAATTGTTGGCGGTTTCAGAGTCTGACGAACTTGGGCTCATAACCTGATGAACTTTAGACTTCTTGGTCCGAGTGCAAAACGCAAAGTGAATATATATTTATAATAGGTACTTAGTTCGCAACTTTGAATACTACCTCTAAGCCTATTATTCGCAGTGACGTCATCCAGTGACGTCACCCACTGACGTCATGCAATGACGTCATCCAGTGACGTCATTTCCTGACTTCGCCCTTACTGGTACATACCGGTACCCACCGGTATAGCGAAGCTTGGTCTTCCACTTGCTTCAACACTTGACGCAGCTTGACGAGGTGTCTTCTTCACAGCCGCTGTCTTTTCAACACGACGCGCCCGGACATTGCGTATGCTGTGGGGTACGTCTCGCGCTTCATGGAGAATCCGCAGCAAGAACATTGGACGGCGGTGAAGCGCATCTTTCGTTACTTGCAAGGGACCAAGTCGCACGGACTCCGCTTCCAGCCAAGCGACAAGATCGACTTTCGCGGATATTCTGATGCGAACTGGGCCGGCGACCATGCTGATCGCAAGTCAACTTCGGGTTACACTTTCATGCTGATGGGTGCTCCTGTGAGTTGAGGAAGCAAGAAGCAGTCAAGCGTGTCACTGTCGACAAGTGAAGCGGAATACATCGCACTAAGTCTGGCCATACAGGAAGGCAAGTGGGTGCATCTCCTGCTATGCGAGATTTTGGCGGCCGCAAACGAACCAGGACCGGACCTCGTCATCCGTGAAGACAACCAGTCGTGTATCAAGATGACGAAGAATCCGGTGAACCATGGTCGAGCCAAGCATATCGACATCAAGTACCATCACATCCGTGATGAGGTCGAGCGCGGTGAAGTGCAGCTCGAGTATTGCGAGACTTCCGTGATGATGGCGGACATCATGACCAAGGGACTTTCGGGACCTCGTCACAAGGACTTGACGACGGCTCTCGGCATTCGTGCGAGTTCGGATTGAGGGGGGCGTGTTGACGGTCATCGGTTTCTACCAGTATTGGTAACCGTGACCGGTCCAATCCGAACCGCCTGTTCAGCTTAGTATTTACGACGTAGTTCTTACGGTAATTACCATAGTTGATTAGACGCGTAGGATGATGAGACGCTTCACATGATTTATATGTGCACCACATATAAATCATGTAGTAAGTAGTAAGCCCCGATAATCAATCACTTTCCAATCTTCCATCTACCCCCAAGTGTCTTCTCCGGTCTTCCGAGTGGACTCCCAGCATCACTCCCAGTTTCGGTCGTCAAGCTTTTCACCTTACAACACCACTTGATCCGCATCAATGTCGTAAACGCGATATGCCTTTGACACTTCTTCGTACCCCATGAATCGTCCTTCACGAGCCTTTGGATCCCATTTCGATCTCTTTTCCTTAGGGGTCAGCACAAACGTTCGGCAGCCGAAAACCCGCATGTGCTTCACACTTGGTCGAAATCCGTTGACGATCTCGAACGGGGTTTGATCTTGGCACTTGGGCGATGGTAGGCGATTCTTGATGTAGATCGCCGTCATTGCTGCTTCAACTCAAAAAAACTTGTCCAGCTTGGCGTAGTGAAGCATGCTGCGCCCGATCGTCACAATGGTCCGAATTGCCCGTTCCGCCGTGCCGTTGGTCTGATACGCATATGGAACGGTAACTTGCTGCTCGATTCGTTGATCATCGTAAAATGCCTTGAGCGAATTTGCCACAGATTCGCGTGCACCATCGTGGCGAACGAACTTGACCTTGTAGTCAAACTGCGTCTGTACTGCCACGATGTACTTCTTGATGCACTCTTCGCTGTCGGAATTGGCGCGCAGACTGAAATCCTTCATACATCCGCTGCCTTCATCTACGGTCAGTAGCAAGTACTTGCTTCCACCTAGCGAGTCGACTTCCATTGGACCACAAGTGTCGATGTGCTTGGCCCGACCATGGTTCACAGGATTCTTCGTCATCTTGATTCACGATTGGTTGTCTTCCATGATCTTGAGCTCGGGTCCAGACTTGTCCGCTGCGGCATCCAGAATCTCGCATAGCAATCGATGCACCCACTTGCCTTCTTGAATAGCCAGACTTAATGCAATGCACTCAGCTTCACTTGTTGACAGCGACACACTTGACTGCTTTTTGCTTCCCCAGCTCACCGGATCACCCATCAGGATGAGCGCATATCCCGAAGTCGACTTGCGGTCTGCATGGTCGCCGGCCCAGTCTGCATCCGAGTAGCCGCAGAAGTCCATCTTTTCATCAGACTTGAAACAGATGCCGTCCGACTTAGTCCCTTGTAAGTATCGCAAAATGCGCTTGACCGCCATCCAGTGCTCGACTTGGAGGTTTTCCATGAAGCGCGAAACGTAACTCACAGCAAAGGCAATGTCCGGTCGTGTCGCGGTCATCAAGTGCATTAAAGCGCCTACTGCTTCACAAAACGGGGCGTCAATTTTGGTTACTGCACTGCTTGGTATGAGTCAAGAACTGATGTCTGTTGGGCTGGTGACGGCTTTGCAGTCGCTCATGCCAAAACGCTTGAGAACATCTTCCACGTAGCGTCGCTGGCACATCGTCACGCTACCGTTGTCGTTGTCCACCAGCTCGATGCCCAACACGAATGCGCACTTGCCGCTGTCAGTCATTTCGAAACGCGCCTTCAAGCCACTCTTGGTGCGCATAATCAGTTCGGTCGAGCTGCCAGTCACCAACACATCATCGACGTATACCAGCAAAAGCACGCACTCGCCACTTGTAATCTTGAGATAAAGACACGGGTCAAAATGAGATACTTGAAATCCAATGGAGCAGACGAACTCATGGAAATTCTCGTTCCATACGCGCGATGCTTGTTTTTAGTCCGTAGATCGCCTTCAACAATTCGAAGCAGTCAAAGTCTTCATCAACTTCGACCCCTTCTGGGATCTCGCAGAATACCTTTTCCTTCATCTCTTCGCATAGCAAAGCTGTCACCACGTCCAGTAGGTCCAGTGTCCAGTCAAAGTACTTCGTGATTGCAACTACCATGCGCAGCGTCACGTACTTGACTACCGGCAAAAACGTCTCCGTGTAGTCGATGCCATATTTCTGCTTGAACCCTTTTGCCACGAGACGCGCCTTGTATTTCTCGATGGATCCATCAGCTTTCCGCTTGATATTGAATACCCACTTGGTGCCAATGGTATGCTGTCCAGCTGGCTGTTTGGGCGCTCGAAGCACGCCACGAAGTTTCATCGAGTCCAACTCAGCACAGATTGCTTCACACCAATGCACTTGATCCGGTCCATCAACAGCATCTTTAAACGTTGTCGGCTCAGACAAGTCAGTACCTTCGACTGCGTTGACACTCGCTCGCCAAAAGACTTGAGGTGTAGCATCCTCGTTATCTTCGTCACTGCCCTTTTGCTCTTCGTCCAGATTTGCTCGAGCGCTTGACCGTCGCTTCGCTTGGTGCGTTTCAAAGTCATCCGGTGCACTTGCTTCTTCGAACCCGGTTCCACGACGCTCAGGAAGTGTCCGTTGTAGAGCTTGTTCTTGGCTGTTTGAACGGCTTTTGCGTTTTCCAATTTGCTTGTGTTGAAAAGACAGCGGCTGTGAAGAAGACACCTCGTCAAGCTGCGTCAAGTGTTGAAGCAAGTGGAAGACCAAGCTTCGCTATACCGGTGGGTACCGGTATGTACCAGTAAGGGCGAAGTCAGGAAATGACGTCACTGGATGACGTCATTGCATGACGTCAGTGGGTGACGTCACTGCGAATAATAGGCTTAGAGGTAGTATTCAAAGTTGCGAACTAAGTACCTATTATAAATATATATTCACTTTGCGTTTTGCACTCGGACCAAGAAGTCTAAAGTTCATCAGGTTATGAGCCCAAGTTCGTCAGACTCTGAAACCGCCAACAATTCAAGCTTAGCTGCCATGGACGCCTCCTCCCTCCGCATCTCCAAGTTCGATGGAACTAACTTCCACGCCTGGAAGTTCAAGATGCAGATGGTGCTGGAGGAACGGGACCTATGGGAGGTCGTCAGCGGTGAGATCAAGGCGGAACAGTGCGAGACTCAGTTGGACCAAGCGACGTACAAGAGGAAGTCAAGAAAGGCGATGGCAGTGATCTGTCTAGCCATGGAAGATTCCCAGCTACCGTTGGTCCGGTCGGCAAGTGGTGCATGCGACGCATGGTCAAGGTTGGAAGACCACTTCGAGAAGAAGAGTCTTGCCAACAAGCTGTTCTTGCGCCGTCGCTTCTTCACGACAATGATGGAAGAAGGCGACGATGTGCTCGAACACATCAACAAGCTCAAGACGCTGGCAGAACAGCTAGAAGCGGTGGGGGCTCCAGTCTGCGAGGACGATCTGGTGATCACACTTCTCGGCAGCCTGAGTGACTCGTATCAATTCTTGATCACAGCTTTGGAGTCGCGCTCAGACACTCTTAGCTGGGAGCTCGTGACATCTCGACTGCTTCATGAAGAAATGAAGCGGAAGGAGCAAGGAAGTAAAGGTGATGAAGCTTCGCAAGGTCAAGCGTTCATCACAAGGGACAATCAGCGCAAAGGGCGACCAGTGAAGAAGTCCTGGCCGTGCCACAATTGCGGAAAGATTGGTCACTGGATGGCGGAGTGCCCCTCGCGCATCCAAGAAAACACGGAGAGACACCGGCCACAGCGTGCTCAAGACAGCGGCGACCGCTATCGATCACAACGTGCAAACGTCGCTCAAGAAGAAGACTCGGGCGACTACCTCTTTTCGATCGGTGAAACGACATCTGCGAAATCGAGCGACATCTGGCTGGTCGACTCCGGGGCGACGCAGCACATGACGTGCTCCAAGAAGTTCATGCGGAACTACAAGGGGTTTGACGCTGTGGATGTCCATCTCGCGGATGATGGAATCGTCCAAGCAATCGGCAGTGGGGACATTGTCATGTCGATGAAGACACCCCAAGGGATGAAGAAAGGTGTGCTCACAAACGTGTGGCACATCCCAAAGTTATCCAGAAACCTGTTCTCGGTCGGCCGCTTCACCAAGGATGTCGGCCCAGTGACGTTCACGAAGGATGGGTGCTATGGAAAATCGAAAGGGACCAAGTGGAAAATTGGCGCCCGTGAAGGTAAAGGACTGTTCAAGCTGCAAATGACTCCAGTGGCGCCGGAACAAGCAAATGCAGCCAAGTCGTCGGGATGTCAAGGGGGCACCAAGTCGTACCTCTGGCACCTTCGGCTTGGCCACATAGGTCACGATGGACTCAATTGCATCGTGACGAAGAACATTGGAATTGGCATCGACATATCTTCGGTGAAGAAGTGGGACGTGTGTGAAGGTTGTGCTCTGGGAAAACAGACTCGAGTGCGCTTCCAATCAAACACTACAGCTCGCACCTCCAAACTCCTCGAAGTGATTCACAGCGACGTATGCGGACCGATGTCGATGGCAACTTTCAGTGGAAAACGGTACTTCGTGACATTCATCGATGACAAGTCAAGATACTGTGTCGTCTATCTGCTCAAGAGCAAATCTGAAGTTGCGGCGAAGTTCATGGAATACGCTGCGATGGCCGAAACGCAAACCGGAAAGCGCGTGAAGTACCTTCAAAGCGACAATGGGGGTGAATACAAGTCCGACAAGCTGGCACGATTCTGCGCGGAACGGGGAATACAACAAAGGTTCACACCCCCATATACTCCTCAGCTAAACGGAGTAGCTGAGAGAATGAATCGCACGCTGGTCGAGTGTGCGCGTTGCATGATGGAACACGCTGGACTGGGAAAGAGCTACTGGGGGTGAAGCAGTGATGACGGCGATGTTTCTTCGAAACCGCTGTCCAACACGTGCCATTCACCAAGACAAGTCTCCATATCAAGTGTGGACGATGAAGAAACCGATTCTGGCCAACCTTAAAGTGTTTGGATGCCACGCGTATGTTCAAGTGCCTCAAGACAAACGCGCGAAGTTCGACTCCAAGTCATCACTCTGTCGTTTCCTGGGATACGCCGAACACCAGAAGTCATATCGATTTGAGGAAGTGTCAACAGGAGCGATCAAGATCAGTCGCGATGCCACATTCATGGAAGACAAGTTTGATGAAGGTCCGCGCAACTACAACGATGAGTCAAGTGCCGTTGAGTTTGATGATCAAGACGAGGACGAAGAAAAAGAAGAAGGTAAAACTGACGACGACATGGACTCGAGCGACGATGACAACGAAGACACCAGGTCTTCGAAGAGCAACATCAAGAGACACACGCGCACTCAATCACTTGAGAAAGCTACCGTCATTCAAGTCCCAAGCGAAGAACGTACAGAGGTCCGTCGCTTGAGCATGTGTCAGCGGCTGCAATGGATTTTGAAGCAGCCTACATCGTTGATTCAGTGGGGGAAACGCCGACTACATTCAAGTCGGCGATGGAATCAAGCGACTCCGGCAAGTGGAAAGAAGCGTGTGACTCGGAGTTCGACTCGCTTCAGAGAAACGACACGTGGGAAATCGTGCCTCTTCCGAAGGTCGCAAGGCCATCGGGTGCCGATGGGTTTTTCGTGTAAAGGAGAATCAAGATGGCGAAGTTGAACGTTTCAAGGCAAGACTTGTGGCCAAAGGATTCTCACAGAAATTCGGAGTTGACTATGAAGAAACTTTCGCACCGGTGGCCAAGTTCACATCGATTCGTGTGGTGCTCAGTATGGCGGCCAAGTACGGCCCTAATGCTACATCAGATGGACGTCAAGACAGCGTTTCTTAACGGCTCCCTCAACGAAGACATCTACATGGACCAGCCGGACGGATACCTGGATGCAACACAGCCGGACTATGTGTGCAAGCTAAAGAGATCACTCTACGGCTTGAAGCAATCGCCTCGCATGTGGAACCAAACAATCGATGGGTTCATGATCAAGATGGGATTCAAGAAGTGCGAATCGGACCACTGCATTTACATCAAGCGAGACGACCAAGACATGATTCTCGTGGTGCTCTACGTCGATGATCTCATCCTGGCCAGCAGCAACAATGAACTCCTCAAGTCGACCAAGATGGCGCTGAGCAAACGCTTCGAAATGACGGATCTCGGTGAGCTCGATTACTTTCTCGGCATGGAGATCAAGAACGACCGTAAGACGGGAATGGTGACTGTACAACAAACCAAGTTTCTCAAGTCCGTGTTGACCAAGTTCGGAATGGATAACAGCAAGCCAGTGAAGACGCCTCAAGATCCCGGCCTGAAGCTAACCAAGAACATGTGTGAACAAGAATGCAAGCACGAAGACACCATGTGCAACGTGCCATATCGAAGTGCTGTCGGAGGCATCATGTATCTCATGGTCGCCACACGTCCGGATCTAGCTGCTGCAGTGGGATCATTATCCCAGTTCTCGTCCGACCCATGCCCGACTCACTGGCAAGCTTTGAAGCGTGTGCTGAGATACCTGCAAGCAACGCCCAATCATGGTCTTGAGTTTACACGTGAAGAAGGAAGCCGTATCTGCGGGTACACCAACGCAGACTGGGCCGGCGACATTGAGTCAAGACGAAGTACAAGCGGCTATGTGTTCATGATGAACGGAGGATGCATCAGCTGGAAAAGCCAGAAACAACGGACGGTCGCGCTAACTTCAACAGAAGCAGAATACATGGCGCTTTCCAGAGCAACCATGATGAACTTTAGACTTCTTGGTCCGAGTGCAAAACGCAAAGTGAATATATATTTATAATAGGTACTTAGTTCGCAACTTTGAATACTACCTCTAAGCCTATTATTCGCAGTGACGTCATCCAGTGACGTCACCCACTGACGTCACCCACTGACGTCATGCAATGACGTCATCCAGTGACGTCATTTCCTGACTTCGCCCTTACTGGTACATACCGGTACCCACCGGTATAGCGAAGCTTGGTCTTCCACTTGCTTCAACACTTGACGCAGCTTGACGAGGTGTCTTCTTCACAGCCGCTGTCTTTTCAACACTCCCTCTCGACTCGTTAGCTGCGGCATCTTGGATCCCAAGTCGATCGCGAATGTTTTCAAATTGTACAGCGGCGATCGGCTTGGTCATCATGTCTGCCAGCATATCTTGAGTCGGGTAATACTCCAAAACGACTTCACCTGATTCCACCTTCTCACGCACAAAATGGTAGCGTATGTCGATGTGTTTTGTTCTCTTATGGAACTCCGGGTTCTTGGCGAGAGCGATTGATCCTTGGTTGTCTTCATACATCTTGATCGCTTCGTCGCTTGTCATCTCACCAAGTTCCCCCAAAAGCACCTTGAGCCATACTGCTTCTTTGGTTGCTTCGGAAAGCGCCATGTATTCTGCTTCTGTTGAAGATAGCGCGACCGTCCGTTGTTTCTGGCTTTTCCAGCTGATGCATCCTCCGCTCATCATGAACACATAGCCGCTTGTACTTCGTCTTGACTCAATGTCGCCGGCCCAGTCTGCGTCGGTGTACCCGCAGATACGGCTTCCTTCTTCACGTGTAAACTCAAGACCATGATTGGGCGTTGCTTGCAGGTATCTCAGCACACGCTTCAAAGCTTGCCAGTGAGTCGGGCATGGGTCGGACGAGAACTGGGATAATGATCCCACTGCAGCAGCTAGATCCGGACGTGTGGCGACCATGAGATACATGATGCCTCCGACAGCACTTCGATATGGCACGTTGCACATGGTGTCTTCGTGCTTGCATTCTTGTTCACACATGTTCTTGGTTAGCTTCAGGCCGGGATCTTGAGGCGTCTTCACTGGCTTGCTGTTATCCATTCCGAACTTGGTTAACACGGACTTGAGAAACTTGGTTTGTTGTACAGTCACCATTCCCGTCTTACGGTCGTTCTTGATCTCCATGCCGAGAAAGTAATCGAGCTCACCGAGATCCGTCATTTCGAAGCGTTTGCTCAGCGCCATCTTGGTTGACTTGAGGAGTTCGTTGTTGCTGCTGGCCAGGATGAGATCATCGACGTAGAGCACCACGAGAATCATGTCTTGGTCGTCTCGCTTGATGTAGATGCAGTGGTCCGATTCGCACTTCTTGAATCCCATCTTGATCATGAACCCATCGATTGTTTGGTTCCACATGCGAGGCGATTGCTTCAAGCCGTAGAGTGATCTCTTTAGCTTGCACACATAGTCCGGCTGTGTTGCATCCAGGTATCCGTCCGGCTGGTCCATGTAGATGTCTTCGTTGAGGGAGCCGTTAAGAAACGCTGTCTTGACGTCCATCTGATGTAGCATTAGGCCGTACTTGGCCGCCATACTGAGCACCACACGAATCAATGTGAACTTGGCCACCGGTGCGAAAGTTTCTTCATAGTCAACTCCGAATTTCTGTGAGAATCCTTTGGCCACAAGTCTTGCCTTGAAACGTTCAACTTCGCCATCTTGATTCTCCTTTACACGAAAAACCCATCGGCACCCGATGGCCTTGCGACCTTTCGGAAGAGGCACGATTTCCCACGTGTCGTTTCTCTGAAGCGAATCGAACTCCGAGTCACACGCTTCTTTCCACTTGCCGGAGTCGCTTGATTCCATCGCCGACTTGAATGTAGTCGGCGTTTCCCCCCACTGAATCAACGATGTAGGCTGCTTCAAAATCCATTGCAGCCGCTGACACATGCTCAAGCGACGGACCTCTGTACGTTCTTCGCTTGGGACTTGGAATGACGGTAGCTTTCTCAAGTGATTGAGTGCGCGTGTGTCTCTTGATGTTGCTCTTCGAAGACCTGGTGTCTTCGTTGTCATCGTCGCTCGAGTCCATGTCGTCGTCAGTTTTACCTTCTTCTTTTTCTTCGTCCTCATCATGATCATCAAACTCAACGACACTTGACTCATCGTTGTAGTTGCGCGGACCTTCATCAAACTTGTCTTCCATGAATGTGGCATCGCGACTGATCTTGATCGCTCCTGTTGACACTTCCTCAAATCGATATGACTTCTGGTGTTCGGCGTATCCCAGGAAACGACAGAGTGATGACTTGGAGTCGAACTTCGCGCGTTTGTCTTGAGGCACTTGAACATACGCGTGGCATCCAAACACTTTAAGGTTGGCCAGAATCGGTTTCTTCATCGTCCACACTTGATATGGAGACTTGTCTTGGTGAATGGCACGTGTTGGACAGCGGTTTCGAAGAAACATCGCCGTCATCACTGCTTCACCCCAGTAGCTCTTTCCCAGTCCAGCGTGTTCCATCATGCAACGCGCACACTCGACCAGCGTGCGATTCATTCTCTCAGCTACTCCGTTTAGCTGAGGAGTATATGGGGGTGTGAACCTTTGTTGTATTCCCCGTTCCGCGCAGAATCGTGCCAGCTTGTCGGACTTGTATTCACCCCCATTGTCGCTTTGAAGGTACTTCACGCGCTTTCCGGTTTGCGTTTCGGCCATCGCAGCGTATTCCATGAACTTCGCCGCAACTTCAGATTTGCTCTTGAGCAGATAGACGACACAGTATCTTGACTTGTCATCAATGAATGTCACGAAGTACCGTTTTCCACTGAAAGTTGCCATCGACATCGGTCCACATACGTCGCTGTGAATCACTTCGAGGAGTTTGGAGGTGCGAGCTGTAGTGTTTGATTGGAAGCGCACTCGAGTCTGTTTTCCCAGAGCACAACCTTCACACACGTCCCACTTCTTCACCGAAGATATGTCGATGCCAATTCCAATGTTCTTCGTCACGATGCAATTGAGTCCATCGTGACCTATGTGGCCAAGCCGAAGGTGCCAGAGGTACGACTTGGTGCCCCCTTGACATCCCGACGACTTGGCTGCATTTGCTTGTTCCGGCGCCACTGGAGTCATTTGCAGCTTGAACAGTCCTTTACCTTCACGGGCACCAATTTTCCACTTGGTCCCTTTCGCTTCTCCATAGCACCCATCCTTCGTGAACGTCACTGGGCCGACATCCTTGGTGAAGCGGCCGACCGAGAACAGGTTTCTGGATAACTTTGGGATGTGCCACACGTTTGTGAGCACACCTTTCTTCATCCCTTGGGGTGTCTTCATCGACATGACAATGTCCCCACTGCCGATTGCTTGGACGATTCCGTCATCCGCGAGATGGACATCCACAGCGTCAAACCCCTTGTAGTTCCGCATGAACTTCTTGGAGCACGTCATGTGCTGCGTCGCCCCGGAGTCGACCAGCCAGATGTCGCTCGATTTCGCAGATGTCGTTTCACCGATCGAAAGAGGTAGTCGCCCGAGTCTTCTTCTTGAGCGACGTTTGCACGTTGTGATCGATAGCGGTCGCCGCTGTCTTGAGCACGCTGTGGCCGGTGTCTCTCCGTGTTTTCTTGGATGCGCGAGGGGCACTCCGCCATCCAGTGACCAATCTTTCCGCAATTGTGGCACGGCCAGGACTTCTTCACTGGTCGCCCTTTGCGCTGATTGTCCCTTGTGATGAACGCTTGACCTTGCGAAGCTTCATCACCTTTAATTCCTTGCTCCTTCCGCTTCATTTCTTCATGAAGCAGTCGAGACGTCACGAGCTCCCAGCTAAGAGTGTCTGAGCGCGACTCCAAAGCTGTGATCAAGAATTGATACGAGTCACTCAGGCTGCCGAGGAGTGTGATCACCAGATCGTCCTCGCAGACTGGAGCCCCCACCGCTTCTAGCTGTTCCGCCAGCGTCTTGAGCTTGTTGATGTGTTCGAGCACATCGTCGCCTTCTTCCATCATTGTCGTGAAGAAGCGACGGCGCAAGAACAGCTTGTTGGCAAGACTCTTCTTCTCGAAGTGGTCTTCCAACCTTGACCATGCGTCGCATGCACCACTTGCCGACCGGACCAACGGTAGCTGGGAATCTTCCATGGCTAGACAGATCACTGCCATCGCCTTTCTTGACTTCCTCTTGTACGTCGCTTGGTCCAACTGAGTCTCGCACTGTTCCGCCTTGATCTCACCGCTGACGACCTCCCATAGGTCCCGTTCCTCCAGCACCATCTGCATCTTGAACTTCCAGGCGTGGAAGTTAGTTCCATCGAACTTGGAGATGCGGAGGGAGGAGGCGTCCATGGCAGCTAAGCTTGAATTGTTGGCGGTTTCAGAGTCTGACGAACTTGGGCTCATAACCTGATGAACTTTAGACTTCTTGGTCCGAGTGCAAAACGCAAAGTGAATATATATTTATAATAGGTACTTAGTTCGCAACTTTGAATACTACCTCTAAGCCTATTATTCGCAGTGACGTCATCCAGTGACGTCATTTCCTGACTTCGCCCTTACTGGTACATACCGGTACCCACCGGTATAGCGAAGCTTGGTCTTCCACTTGCTTCAACACTTGACGCAGCTTGACGAGGTGTCTTCTTCACAGCCGCTGTCTTTTCAACAAACCAAAGAAGCAGTATGGCTCAAAGTGCTTTTTGGGGGGAACTTGGTGAGATGACAAGCGACGAAGCGATCAAGATGTATGAAGACAACCAAGGATCAATCGCTCTCGCCAAGAACCCGGAGTTCCACAAGAGGAACAAAACACATCGACATACGCTACCATTTTGTGCGTGAGAAGGTGGAATCAGGTGAAGTCGTTTTGGAGTATTGCCCGACTCAAGATATGCTGGCAGACATGATGACCAAGCCGATCGCCGCTGTACAATTTGAAAACATTCGCGATCGACTTGGGATCCAAGGTGCCGCAGCTAACGAGTCGAGAGGGAGTGTTGAAAAGACAGCGGCTGTGAAGAAGACACCTCGTCAAGCTGCGTCAAGTGTTGAAGCAAGTGGAAGACCAAGCTTCGCTATACCGGTGGGTACCGGTATGTACCAGTAAGGGCGAAGTCAGGAAATGACGTCACTGGATGACGTCATTGCATGACGTCAGTGGGTGACGTCAGTGGGTGACGTCACTGCGAATAATAGGCTTAGAGGTAGTATTCAAAGTTGCGAACTAAGTACCTATTATAAATATATATTCACTTTGCGTTTTGCACTCGGACCAAGAAGTCTAAAGTTCATCAGCTTGAACTCCATAGGGTGAGGGCTCATCGCTAATGTTCATCGATTCGATATCCAGCGCAGTGTCATCAACAATTTCTTGTGGTAGCGTCGGCGAGAAACCAAACGTTGGTTCGTCCGAATGTGACATCGCGAGATATCACCACTTGATCCGCTTCAATGTCGTAAACGCGATATGCCTTTGACACTTCTTCGTACCCCATGAATCGTCCTTCACGAGCCTTTGGATCCCATTTCGATCTCTTTTCCTTAGGGGGTCAGCACAAACGTTCGGCAGCCGAAAACCCGCATGTGCTTCACACTTGGTCAAAATCCGTTGACGATCTCCGAACGGGGTTTGATCTTGGCACTTGGGCGATGGTAGGCGATTCTTGATGTAGATCGCCGTCATTGCTGCTTCAACTCAAAAAAACTTGTCCAGCTTGGCGTAGTGAAGCATGCTGCGCCCGATCGTCAGCAATGGTCAGAATTGCCCGTTCCCGCCGTGCCGTTGGTCTGATACGCATATGGAACGGTAACTTGCTTTGCTCGATTCGTTGATCATCGTAAAATGCCTTGAGCGAAGTTGCCACAGATTCGCGTGCACCATCGTGGCGAACGAACTTGACCTTGTAGGTCAAACTGCGTCTGTACTGCCACGATGCTTCTTGATGCACTCTTCGCTGTCGGAATTGGCGCGCAGACTGAAACCCTTCATACATCCGCTG